CAATAAGGAAAAGTTGGCGATTGTTGCATCTTTTATCAAAAACCTCCATTTTCTCTCCACAAGTTTCCAGCAGCCCCAAAGGTTCCTCCACATCACCTGGACCACCTGTCTACGTGGACTTGGCGTACATCCCCAACCATTGCAACGGGAAAAATACGGACCAAGAGTTCTTCAGGAGAGTCAGAGCTTCTTACTACGTGGTCAGTGGGAACGATCCCAGTAGCGGGGAGCCCAGTCGTGCCGTCCTGGAGGCCTTGTTGGAGGGGAAGGCCCAGTGGGGGGAGAACCTGCAGGTAGGTGCCTGGCTGACTTCCCTTCCTCCAGGAGTGGCAGCTTGGGAGGCCCGCTTCCTCTCGGCCCTTTGGGCATGGCTGCAGGCCCCGCCCGGGATCCTCTTCTCTGGTCCACCAGCTGGGCTCCTGGGCTGGAGCCGAAAGGGGCTCAGGGGTTTCCTCCTTCAGAAGGACACCTTGCCTCCAGGGCCGGCAGGAAGGCAGGCTCGCTGCAGCCTTCCCTCCCCCCCCCCGCATCAACCGGCTGGCCCGCAACTACTTTGCCACGCCCCTCTTCTCCCCCCCACTTCCCCCCCCCCCATCCTGAAGAAGGCGGCTGCAGCTGGCAAGAGAATCTGCGCCGCCGACCCTGGTTGTCAAAGTCTGGCTGGAATTCCACGGTTCAGGCCACAGGCTTTTGACAGGTGGTCCATCTCTCTCGTTCCCCCAGGTCACTCTAATCCCAACACACGACACCGAAGTGACGCGGGAATGGTACCAGCAGACTCACGAGAAACAGCAGGAGCTGAAGATCATGGTCTTGGCCAGCAGCAGCACCGTGGTGATGCAGGACGAATCTTTCCCTGCATGCAAGATCGAGTTCTGAGCTTCCCCTCCTCTCCTTCCCCTCCCACGCAGCACTTGGAAGGCCCACCTGCCCCCCACTGCTTGATTTGTTGCCTTCCCTGAGTGTCGGCTGAACTCGGCAGGAGCAGCACTCCATCCGTGTGTGGTTCTTGCTTGCCAGAGCCCCAAGACCGGCCCCACACGCCTGGATACGTGTGCCGAGTGGCCCCACCACTTGTCTGCTCTCCCCGGAACCGCTGCCAAGGGGGGTTCGGCTCCCTGGATTTGGTTTGTCTGCCCGGTCTTTGCCCTGCTCCTTCTCATCCCACGGCTGAGCTCCGCCCAGCTCTTGGCCCAACCTTGGAGGGAAAGTGGGGGACCACGTGGGGGCCCTGGTGGAGAAGGCAAGGCTCGGGCTCTGGAGCAAGCCAAGCAAGGAGGTGGCCCCAGGGCGTCTCGAGAGACCAGGCATAAAGTGGCACAACCCACCTTCCCCTCTGTGGCACAACCACTTGCGGGGGGAAGGCTCCTGTGGCGACCAGTGCCCAGGCTGCCCTCGGGCCCTTGCCCAAGGGCCCGAGGCTGGGATGGCGCCTGCCCCTCCGCCCACAGCTCTCCTCTTCTCAAAGGCTGAAAGCAAAACCTTTCACTTTCTGGATGGGCGGTTGAGGCAGCGGGCACTGGGAGCCGCCTGGTGCAGCGCTGAGCAGGTTGCAAGGATGCTTTAGTCCTCTGCCGGAATAGATCAGCTTGGAAGAGCCGTAGGATCCCTGGAACCCTTCGAAGGAGAGGGTGGATGAGGAGAAATAGAGCAATGTTACTTTTTCCGGTTATTGTTTAATTTATTATTTTTTAATGACATGTACTTTTTCATGTACAGGTTTTGCATTTGTGTTTTCAAATGTTTTGACTTTTACTGTAGGCTCTTAACTCCCAGGTCACAGGGTACTCACATTTCTAAATGCTGCAAACTGACAGAGGATGAAGAATTATCCCCCCGCCCCTCCCAAATCACTTGGGTAACATACATTTGAATCCTTCAGTCTGCTCGGCCCAGGTCAGCCTTGGGACACCTGGTCCTGGATGAGGGGAAATGCGTGCCAGCCTTTCTCGTGGCTCTCGTGGCTTGAATTGCTGCCCTTCTGGCTGGTGTTTAGCTGGCAGACCAAGTCTCCATCTGTAGTTAGACAAGTGAATGTACTGACCCACTTATGAATGTGTCTTAGAAGCTGAAGCTGACGCGGTGGGAGGAGGGAGACCAAGAACTGTTCCTTCCTCTTAGGCAGTACAAGGACTCTGACCCATCTGTTCCTCCTCCTCCTTCTCCTCCTCTTCCTCACACAGCCCTGCCTGAGTCTCATCACTCCAATATTTTGTAATTTTGAAGCACGCTTCAGCAGCCTCCCCTTGCCCATTTTATGGCAAAATTTATAACAATTATTGCTCATCCTTAGCCATGAGAACCAACTGGACCTTTGGCAACCCCAGGAGGGAAATACGGCTTCTGCTCTTCCTGCATGTGGCAATTCGTGCCCGAGGGCTCCTGTTCCTATGACTCCCTTGGCCTTGGGGCAAAGAACGAGAAGCAACCCCTCCGGGGCGTCTGGGGGAGTCTCGCCTAAACAGCCCCCTTCTCCGCTGGCCCTTTGCTCTCCGTTAGTCCCGTCCCCTCCGACGTCTTGCCTTCCTTCAGTTCTGTGTGCAATATACGCTGTAATGCTAATAACCGCAAAGGAATGGGTCTGCGCTGACCAATAAAGCAACCTTCACCACAGGCTCTGTGTGAGGCTCTCCCTCCGGCGCACTGGGGATCACAAGGCCAGGAGGGCCCTTTTAGCCCAGCAAGGCCCGGCTCCCGCGTTGGTTCTTGAGCTGGGAGGCTCTTCGCCTTGTCTGAAGGCACCTGGCCACAGAGCAGCCCCGGGACAGCCCCCTCCCCTGCCTCAGTCCGGCTACAGCTGGGCACCCTAAGAGTTAGGAACATGAAGAAGTGGGGCGGGAACAGGCTGTGCCCTAACAAACCACAGCCCAGCCCAGCTTGGCGTTCTACGTAAGACGCTCAGCGCCACTGGCTGGGTTCCCCTAACGGGGAGGCCTGGAGATGCAGCCAGGGCTGATCAGCAGTCGTGGGCTCTGGGTCTCCCTTCTTTGGGGCTGTAAGCCTGGCTGGGAAAGGGGAACCGGGGCCCACCAGTCTCCCGGGGGGGGGGCATTTCCAACTTCCTCTGCCTTGCAGAGGGAACCGCTGTTCTCCCTCCCTCCCTCCAGATGCTGGCAACGCTTTCTCTGGGAGATTGCACGGATCTCCCCCTCAGCCCTCCCGCCCCCCCCCCCCCAAATATCCTAAAGAACTCCAGTTGGGCCGGAGGAAGGAGCAGAGGCAAATGAGAAATGGCCACTCTTTGTGGGCAGAGAGTCCCGCGGGTTTTGGGGTCACGGAGGAGGAAATCAGAAGGCTCTGATTGGGTAGCAAGTTTGGGTGGAGGGGGGAAGAGAGAGGCCTTAAGCCGGGGAGCTAAAAGAACCGGCAGCGAGTGAAGCCTAGTCAGCGTGAAGAAGGGTGGCCCCTTGAGACAAGAAGCCCACCTGCGCTTCACGGTGGCTCCTTCTGCCGACCACTGGCTGCCAGCAGTTTGGCAGTTCGATTCTCAACGGCTCAAGGTGGACTCAGCCTTCCATCCTTCCGACCCAGATTGTTGGGGGCAAGAGGCTGACTTTGTAAACTGCTTAGAGGGGCTGTAAAGCACTGGGAAGCGGTATATAAGTCTAAGGGCTATTGCTGGACCTGGCCACACCTGGAAGGCTGAGCCTAAGCCCTTCCTCAGGCTTCAAACTCTCCCGTCTAACGCCCCACTTCAGGCCCCCAGCCCAGCATGGTGACGAACCCCTCAAGCACTGCCACAGAATTGAGAGGCTCTGGGCCGCTTCCGTTCGACAAAGGGAAATAAAGGAAGTGGACATTAGAGGTGGCCCAGCCCTATTTCGGATCCCGAGCCTGGCAACTGGGGCTGCCTGTCCTCCTCTGACCCCCGAGGGCTTTGCAGGCCTTGGAAGCCACCCCGCCTGGGCCAGCGCTGGGGCTTCGGTGCGGCTGGGGCTGCTCCCCCTGGCTGGGATCTCGGATCCTCAGAGATTTCAGCACGCCATCTTTCCCAGCAAGCCCCCCGCCCCCCCCCCCCCGGTGGCCGGCCTGCTTCTCTTCACCAAGACTGGGGGCTTTGGCAGTTTAACTGTCCTCTCCACACCTAGCAGTCTGTCCGTCCACAGAGCAGAAGTCCCTTCCTTCTTCCCCTTCTGCTGCCTGCCTTCCTTCGCCATCTGCCTGACCGTCTTGAATGCCACCAGAAGGCTCTCGGAGGACACACACACACACCCGTGTCTCTGCAGCCCCTCCCTCCAGAGAGGCACCACTGCACAGCTGTTGCAGCTCAGACATGGAGTGTTCCAGCAACTCACTTTTAACTCGCTTTCTCTGCCTCCTTCTTAGACCAAAAAGGTCGTCTGAAAAGCCCCGCCAGGATCCCCCCAGCAGGCTTTGGAGAAGCAGCCTGTCCGGAACCATTTCAAGCCACGGCTGAGACCCTGAGACGGGATCCTCGGTCTCCCTTCAGACGGAGCCCCTGGAAGGGTAGGCCAGCTCCTCCTGCGCCTGCGACCTGCCTGCCGGCCGCTTCCTTTCCCTGGAAGGACCCTGCAGAGCATCTTTGGAGAATGCGGGGAAGCCGCTCGATGGCCAACGTCCGTCCGTAGGTCGCGGCACCCCTCCTTGTAAGCCCCCTCGGAAGAGCCCCAGAGCTCTAGCAGGGGCTTCCCCTCCTGTCATGGGGCAGGCCGACCTCTGGGGCACATCGGAAGGCCTCCCTTCCTTTGACCGGCAGCCCCAGGCCAAGCCTTGCTCTTTGAACATCCTCCAGCTCCTTCAAGGCAAACTGCTCCTGCCCAGGGAGGCTCTGCTCTGGGGCCCCTTTTCCACATGCCTCGCGAACCTCCTCCGAGAAAGAGACCCCCGCCTCACGAGGCTCTAGGTCTCAGTCTGGCAGAGAATAAAGATGCTACCAGGGCCAAGAGTGTTTTACTACAGATTGTAACTACAGCACAAGGACTTGGCGGGTGTGTCATAATTCAGAACGAGAGAAACACAGAAATCGTAACCACCAACACTTTGGACGTGACATCTGCCCCTCCCCCCACCACAGATGCAAAGAATATATTACTATTTGCATTTGGTAACACCCCCACACGCACCCCCAGCCACTGATTTGTATATTCCTAAGAAAACCTGGTTCACTTGGTGATTCCAGCAAGGCTGGGAAGGGGCTTCAGGGGGATCGCTGCTTCAGCGGCCTCACCAGAAAATCCCCCTGGAAAACCTGGAGTGCAGAGTCCGCCTGGGCTGCTCCACTGGGGCAGCCTGGCTCCTGGCTGGAGTCTTCACCGCTCTGGGCTTTTGCTGGTCAAACGGCAGTTTCCCAGGTGCTGCCGAGGAGCAGAAGGTGCCCTGCCTCCGCTCCCAGGCCAGGTCCCTGAGCGCCTCGCTGGGGGCCTTTGAAACAAGGTCCAGAGCGCCTCTTTGCTCTTCAGCCGGTCTGGCTCTGGCTCTGGGCCTCCCAGGCCCCATGGCTGCCCCTCTCAGCTGGGGCCTCCTCCAACCGATTCTGCTCTGGCCCCGCCGCCTCCTCCTCTCTCACTGCCAGGAGCTCCCCCCAAGGGGCAAAGCCCTGCAGGCCCCCTTCTTCCACGCTGAGCAGGTCCTGACTGGGGGGCCTGTCGCCAGGCTGGTCCTCGTGGAAGCAGCTGGCCAAAGAAGGCAAGGGTTCCATGCAGCCTTTGCCAGAGGCCACGTCGAACGTGCTCCCCTCTGCAAAGCAAACATAAGGGAGATGGTCACGGGCAAGTCTGGCTTGGTCCTCTGGCCAGGACCCCCAGGACAGCCCGGTCTCTGCAGCACCTTCAGCCAGGAGGAATCCAACACCCGCGAGACCCTCCCGCACGGGCAGCCCACCTCTCGCTGCTGTTCTGGCTGCCCAAGTGCTCGCGGCGGGACAAGAGCCGCTTACCAGAATCTGGCAACGTTGCCACCCCTTCGGTTCCCTCAGCAGAGGCTCAGGTGGGCTGCTGCCCCATCTCCCAGCCACCTCAAAGCCTTCCTGTCCCATCCTCCAGCATAGGGCGACAACCACTCGCTCCCTCCCAGAAAAAAAGATCATTTCTGCTCCTTTGGAGAAGCGGCGGACAAGCAGGGCCCCAACCTGAGGCCTCCCCGGGTTCCATTCTGCTCACTGGCTTTACACGGCTGCCCAATTGACAAATCCCAAATCTGTAGGGCGCAAACCAGGTTGACCCCAGTACAGAAGAAACGTAGGACCCAGCCAAGGCTGGCCTGCCATCCTCTCCCCCATCCCTCATTCCAAACGGGCACAGCAGCACCCCGACCCACTGGCAGCTCAGAGGTCTGGGTAGGCCATTGCTTCCGGGGCCCCTGGAGGCCTGCAGCCCACCAATGGCAGCAGCTCTTCTGGAAGGCTTTGTGCTCTGTCTTGCTGGGAATTCATGGCTGCTGGGGTGTCCCACACCGTGGGGAGCATGGGCCTCCTTTGGGAAAGTCTTCGGCTCTTCCAACAGGCGTCCTGAGTTGCTCTCAAAGCAAAGCCAGTAGATTTAGCCAAGGTTACTTGCGCAAACTGTTTCCTGGTTTGTTGATCTTGGTGCCCCACAGATGGGAAGGTGGGGTGGATACCGACAGAATCTCAGGCCTGCTTCTTCGGGTGGCTTGTGAGCCAAGCTTGGAGATGACACCGTGGGGTGTGCACAGTTCTTCTCAGATGCTCCACCTGCCCTTCCCTACCTGCTGCCCGGTGTTGGTGCTGCAGTTTTAGCTGACCTCCAGGCGACAGTATTGCTCAGGCATGGAGACCCCCAAGAGCTTTGTGGTTGGCTCAGAAAGGAGGTTATGGGCCTCTGGTTAAGATTGGAAGAGAGGCTGCTGAGACAAGCCAGCTCTTCCCATTGGCTCTTTCGGGCTGTGAGATAACAAACATTCAGCTCTTACCCCAATTGAATCCTGACTCCCCCCTTGCACTGTAGCAGCACCCTAAAACTCGGCCCACAAAAACAACCCCTCGGGGGCTTGAATTCTGCAGGCTTCTTTGCCATTTGGGCTCCCCTGGCAGATTAAGGAAGGCCCCGGGAGCTATAAGGGACTAATGAAGCCATTTAAATAACCGTGATGCTGTTTGTTTTGTCCTGGCATCCTTTTGGATGTCCTCCTGCTTCAGTATCCATTAGCTGAGAATACAAGAATTTCAGAGAATCCACCTGATGTCCGACCTTTTTACTTCTTCTGTTCGATACCAACAAGCTGTCTCTGACTTAGACAGGATGGCATGCATGTCTACCAATGGCATGACCCAAAGAGAAGCCAAACTAACACGGCTTTGGGTCCAGAGCTGCAGTCCAGGGTGGCCAGCCCTGAGGTCCCCTTCTCTGCCCCCTCCCAAGGGGGTTACCTGTGCAGGGCTTCAGGTGGGAGTCGGGGCAGCTCCCGGACAGAGCAGTCAGGAAATCGCTGACCTGGCGAAGAGAGAGGCAGTTGTGCAGCGTCTCCAATGGGTAGATGCTGGGCACCATGGAACAGCCTTCGAACCCTGCAGACCAAAGACGGCACATCAGGGTCTGGGAGCCTCACCCACCCAGCCTGCTTCCACTCCGACTGCCCCAAATGTCAGCAGCAGCAGCACCTCCGACCCTTTCTGAGCCTCTCAGGCAGAAGATGAGCCCCCCCCCCCGCCCCCGGGCCAAGCTGAAGAGCAGCAGAGCTGACAGCTCCCCCTTCACGGGGGGAGGGGGGGCTGGAGGCGGCGCATCTGCAGAACAAGCAGCAAGGAAAGCCACCTCCCAGGCCCCATCTTTCAACGGGGGGGCGGCAGGGGGAGCTGCTCCATTGCTGCAACCTTAACGCTCTTTTGGGGCAGAAACCCTTGGACAGTCCAGGACTTGCAAATTCAGTGGCAGCAGCTGGGGAAAGCGCCTGTCTGCAGATGCCTCCAGGCTTGTGCAGAGCAGCTGTGCTGCATAAAAGCCCAGGTCTCGTTCGCTGGCTTGGTTTACATCCGTGGCGTTTCTATTGCTTTGGGCCATTTCTCCCTGTTGTATCCTAGAGAAAAACTGTTGAGGAGGTTAACGCTGGAGGGCAGCACTCTTTGGGGTGCATGGCCATGCACAGAGCTAACCCTGGGAGCAGCTGTAGACCATTAGACCTGCCTCTCCTTTTCACGGTTTCATGAAAAATGATTGGCAGCTTTGTGCTCTAACTGAAGAGCCCTGGATCTGCCTTTTTAAACCCGAGTGACCTCACAGCCAGCAGAAGGGTTCCCCCCACCCCACCCACTGGGACCGAGTGGGGAAAACCACATCAGGGGATGAGGGGAGGCTCTGCTTCCTTCCTTCTTCTCATTTGGGTAGCAATTCCTGAAACAAGACAGGCAGATGCTTGGCTCAAACGTTCCTCAACTGGTCCAGAGCAGAACAAATCAACTCATAAAACGCTGTGGTGGACACACTCTGCTACTTCTACAAATAGGGAAACAGACCACAAGCATAACCCATTTCTTGAGGGGGATAAGAAACTGAATGAGAAATATATATGGGGGGAAATTGCCCATTTCCTAAAAAATAAAAGCTCTTTAAGGGAAGGCGATTTCTACCTGTGTTTGCAAAATAGCAAAACTAGGAAAGCGTCATTGTTTTTTTGAGGATCTCCAAAAAGGATTGAGGATTAGAAACAGCTAAGATTTGCATTTTGGAAGGGGGAGCCTCTCCACAAAAGGGTCTCTCCCTCAAACGGGAGGCAGGAGGGACGTGGCCTGGAGGTAGCCCCAAGGCCCATGGGGGCCTTTCGGGTGCTGGTGAACATCAGCTCCACCACAAAACCACCTGGCCATCTTCCCATGCAATCTCCTCTTTGAGCTCCTGCCTCACAAAAGGTTTCCCCCTGAGAGTGGACCCATGTGGCACAGCCAACAGCTTAGAAAGGAAACCGGTTGTTCTTACAGCCAAAGAACAATTTAGGGGACGAGCAGCAACTTTTCTTTTTTTAGCAATAAACTAGAGGAAAATCTGCCCAGAGCTCTCAGAAGCTCCACTTTACAACATAAAATGCGGTTTCCTGGTCTGGGCTGTTCATGGCCCTTGTGGTGAGAATTTCGTGCCTTTTGCTCCAGTCTTTCAACCTCGGCACTTGCAGCAAGCTAAGGCTGCTCAGCCCCTTCATCTCAGGTACCTTCCCAAGAGTTGGCCAAGCAAAGGTTGAGACCTAGACGCGCTTGGAAACCAGGTAGAGGTGCTGCCTCCCACTTGAGGCCAGCAGGTGTTGCCTGCCTCCCCAGGGGGAGGCCTCAGGGGTCTCTGCCAGGCTTAGCGGGTGCTCTCATGATGGAGGAAACCAGCCTCCTTGCCCTTCGGAGAGAGTGACCAACAAGGTCAATTGTTCTGTCCTTCGGGGAGGTCAGAGGGACATGGAAGAACCCAGATCAACATCCCCAAGACAGAGTGGCGCACTTGTTGCCTCATTTTGTTCCCCTTCTGTCACAAGATTGAAAAAAACGACCATGATGTGGCGTACCAAAGCTTGCAAATGGGAGAAAAATCCATGTATGTGTTTCAGAGAAGCCGCCTGTCACCTCTGAGCCCCTTATTTATAGCTTGGAAGCCCACTCTGAACATGACTGCTAAAAGGGGACCCTAATTTCAGAAGGAGAACAATGAAAATGAGAGTAGAACCCCACAGACAGCTCTTCGCCTGCTTTATGCGGACTTTGCTGCAGTCTTCGGAAACCGCCCCCACCCGCTCGACCTGCTCCGGGGAACGGCCTTCTCGGCCCACCCGCCTTCCAGAAAAGCCCTTCTGTGGCACAGGAGCTTCAATATGAATGGGGGCTGGGGTGGGGTGGGGTGGGGGGGACGTCTGCAGGGCAGGAGGTGTTTCCCCCTCCTCAAAGTCTAGGCTCCTCCCAAGGGAGCTCAAGCCCTGGTGGCTCCGTCCGTGGCTCAGGGGACGGGCTTTCTTGACCCTGACGGGGTGGAGGAGCGGCCCTGCCCCCTAAGGCCCCGTCCCTCGTGGTGGTGGCTAAGTGAGCCTCCTCCCCTCCTTCGGAAAAGAGCGGAAGGTGCGGTCATTGTGAGGCAACACAAGGCAACATTACACAAGACAGCCAGTCAGAAACACGGAGCAGGAGGTGAGGACACAGCAAGTGCAGGGCAGGGGCAGCCGAGAAGGGGAGGGTCTCAAATGAAGAAGCAAACGTACCATTAGTTGGATGCTTTGCAAATGACACAGAAAATCTCTTTATGGCTGGCATGGACAAGAGCTCTGGGGAGACAAGAAAAAACATCCCTTGAGTTGGGGGGGGGCAGTTGGCCCCTGCCAAGGCTGCTGCAGCTGCTGCTGCTGCTGGTGGGGAAGCACGAGGGGGGGGGGACAAAGGGGGAGAGGCAGAGGAGAAGCCGGGCTAAGCTCACTGGATCCCCAAAGTCTACTGAAAGGCTGAGGCTGAAAAAGGCAGGAGAGCATCTTCAGGACAGTATGGAGCCCAACTTGAAGAAAAGGAGGCCGGACCGGGAGACCCTCTGCTGGCATCTCTTCCCAGGCCTCTCCGCGGCCTCCGGCACTACGAAGCAGCCACCAGCCCCAGGAGACGCCAACCAGCTCTGCGGTCTTTCCCTTCCCCAGCAGCCCAGCCCAACCGGGGCTCTGCAGTGCCAAGGCTGGCCAGGCCAAGAGCCCAGGCAGGCCAGAGGGCGCCTTCTCAGGCCAGCTACTGGCTGCTTACACTTGAGCAGTTTTGAGGCTTATTTGTAGGAGGCGAGTTAAGTTTACGGTCTTGTTCTGCTCCACTTATGGTTTGGTGTGTTACGTGAAACCAGGCAGCGGGTTCCTTCAGTAGCCACCTAACTAACACCCAGCACGCCAGGACTGTCTCTGGGTCTCCTTTCTCCCTTGGGTCCTGTTCAAGGCAGCGATTCCACCGCAAAATCAGGGGGACTCTGGCATCCCCCCTGGCAACGTAAGAGCCACTTTCGGCATCCGAGACCAGATTCCCCTGGTGGCCCATCATCCCCAACTTCTCCCAGACCTTCTGACTGACCAGGCGGTCGAGCTCCTGAAGGATTTCCAAACGGTACTCTAATTTAGACTAAAACAGCCAACCCAAATTCAGACCGACCGAGGCTTTGCTTGAAGGGGTTCAAGCCAAATCCTGAAAAGAGCTGCAGAATCGGGGGAGGGGTACAGGAGAGCCACGCCCAGCTTTTCAGTCAGGGAAGAGGCACTTCTTCTGGGCCGACCTCAGGGGACCCGGCTCCTCCGGGACCCCCACCAGCCCTCCTCCCTGCTGTTCCGAGAAGCCTTGAGGGACTGACGTGGACATGCCCGCCCCCACCCCTTGGGGCCATTTACACTGGAAGAACCAAGTTTCACTGAATCCTTTCTTCTTTTCCTAAATATCTCAAGGCAGCAAGTGTGCTTAACGCTCCTTCCTCCTCCTCCTCCACAGCAAACCTGTGGGCTGGGATAGGCCTAAAGTCGTCCAGCTAGCTTTCACACCCAAGGCAGGACTCAAACTCACCATCTCCTGCTTCCGAGGCCATTACCCGAACCAAGAGGCCAAACTGGCTAAACTTTCTGACTGACCAAACTTTCTGGGAACAGCAGCCCTTTTTATTAGTCCTGGCAGTGCGTTGCTAGGAAGCCTGCTAGTGAAATAGAGTGGATGCCATAGAGAATCCGGCTCAACGGAAGTGGCCTTCGGCTGGAATAAGAATGAAATATCTCTGCAGAAAGTGATTCCTTGTCCTCCAATCATCCTCACCCCCATGTCTGAACTCGTCTCTGAATCCTTCTTCATGTGTGGTTTCCATAATAGATGCTTCAGAAAGTTTTTACGGGTGCAAGGATAAAAATACGCATTGAGAAATTTGTAGGGCCAGAGTCCCCATGGGCCTCTTGGGGGGGGGGCCTCTCAGCCCCCAATGACCTGCCTCTCTGAACAGCTGCCAGGCCCCAGCAGCAGCCTCAGGGCAGAAGGGAGAGGCCAGTCCTTCCGCAGCCTCAACACCCAGGCAGGCCCTGGTTCCCTGGCCCCCGTTCAGAAGGCACCCTTACCGTCTTTGTACAGAAAGCTGGAGACAAACTTTTTCCCGTGGCTGCGGGCGTAGTCCTGAAGATTTGGGGCACTGGAGGAGCCCCCCAGGACCGTGGTGCTGAAGAGCCTTGAGCAGGGTGACCCTGGGGAGCAGAGCGGGAGCGTGAGCAGACTCCCTGCCGGAGACCCTGGGGAGAGAGGCCAGGAGAGAGAGGCGCCAAGCTTTGGGCCGGCTGGGAACAAAGGGAGGGCAGCTGACTCTGCCCTGGGCACAAGAGACTCGCGGACCAGGATTGGCCCCGGGTGGCTATAATGGAAACGGAGGGGGTTTTTTTCACTTTACAGATTAATGGAGTTGGAAGGGACCTGTAGGTCATCTAGTCCAACCCCCTGCCCAAGCAGGAGACCCTGCCTACACCATTTCTGACAGACGGCAGTCCAATCTCTTCTTGAAAGCCCCCAATCAGGAAGCCCACAACCTCCAAAGGCAACTTCTGTTCCATGGACTGACTGTTCCGTCAGACAATTCCTCCTTATTTCTAGGGTTGAATCTTTGGAATGTGGAACCCCTTTGAACCCCCTGGCCAGAAGAAAACAGAGGGACAGAGTCATCCTTGGTTCAGGTACTCAAGAAACTGTCCCTACGCCCGGGGGGAGCCCAGGGAAAATCCTCCAGCAAAGCTCAGAATCGACTTCGTGCCTTTTCAAGGCAGCTTATCGGCTTTGCCAAAAGAAGCCCTCCGTGCTGGACGCTTCCTTCCTGGGCCAAAGCCTGGCCGCTTGGCTGCTCATCTCCTCTGGCCACCGAGCCCCCGACGAAGAAGGCAGGCATGGCTTCCGCCAGGGGCCCTTTGGGATCATCTGCCCACCACCGCCGTCCCACGGGGCTTAGGAGTGCCTGGGCTCCTGCAATCCGGCCTTGAGCCATCCCTGCCGTTTTGGGGTTTGGCCCTCGGTCCTGAGCCTGGCCAGGGGGGCGGCATCTCAGGAAGGAGAGGCAAGGAAAGCCCCTTTCTTGCCTCTTCTTTCCGAAGTGCCCCCACCCAGCCGGCCGGCCCCCAGGACCGAGGGCCAAAGCAGCTCGTGGGGGCTTTGGGATTCTTCCCCCACTTTGGGGGCCGGGATGTCCCATGGAGGGGGCGGGGGCTGAACAGCCCAGCAGCACAAGCAGGCCGATGATGCCCTGCAGGGGCCAGGCCCCAAAGGAGCCCCCCAAGGCAACCCAGCTAAGGTGGCTGCCCTCCCAGGCAACGGGCAAATGGGAGACTGGGGTTGAGGGCCCGTTCTCTCTGCCCACTTCAAGGGCCAGGCAGGGGATGCTGCTTCATCTCCACCAGAGAACAGGCCTCCTCCTGACTTGGGCCTGTCGCTGAGTCCTCCTAACTGAGCCAGCCTGAAGTTCAACCTTCACGGAAGGGAGGCGGCCTGGGTTTGCTTTGACAAAGGCCCCACAAACCCAGCACAGCAGCTTTGCCCCCAGCCCTTCCTCTTCAGCAGGAGCTCCCCCCATTCCTTCCCAGCTGGATCCGAGCCCCGGGGGCGCCGAGCAGCCTCCGCCAGCCTTTCGGTAAGGGCTGCTCCCAGCTGCCCCCCCTCCCCCCCCGCCTGCATGCCAGGCCAGTCGGAAAGGTAGCCAAGGGGGGATTTCCATGCTTGATACCTAGGGCGCTTTGCTTCCCTTCTGACGAATGCCTGGCGAAGGAGAAGAGCCGGTACCCGCCGGATTTGGATGACTCGGACAGCACCTGCAGAAAGGAAATGTTGGTAAAGCCAAGAGAGCCAAAAGCGAGCAGCCCCCATTCGTCAGAGGAGGAGAGCAGCCCCCCCACCGGGCCACCCGTGTCCGCTGCAGCCGAGATGCAATGCCCCCCCCCGACTTCCAGCTCCCCCACTCACTTCCATGGAGCCAGCCTTGCGGTTCCGGATCAAGGGGGACCGGCGCTGGAGGCAGACCGGCTCCGAGGGCTGCGGGGCCTCCGCCCTGTCTGTCTCCTTGCTGCCCTTGGACTCAGCCAGGTCCTCCAGACTGCCCTGCTCCGGCTTTCTGGCCTCCTTCTGCAAGAAAGCCGCGGTTGTGATGCTCCAAGCAGTGGGAATCTCTCTCGGGGCACGGAAGCCGCCTTGCTAGCAATGGGCAAGGAGAAGCAAGCTGGTCGGCTTGGGGCTGCCGAGACAGGGGAGCGCTCCTTCCCTGCTTTTGCAGCTTGGTGGCTTAACAAATGTGTGCCCAAGTTTCCTCTTTAAGAGTCAAAGAGAGGCAGAAGTCCGGTTAGAGTCACAAGGAAAGGTTGCAGCTGTTTCTCTGCCACTCATCCTGCCACTGCAGGGACAGCCTGACACCCCGTGTGTGGCGGGAAACCTCCAGCTACCCCTGAAGAGAGGAGGCTCCCTGGACACAAGCGCACCTCTGCAGAGGCCGGGCGAAAGCCGCATCCTGCTGGGGCACTGCCTTCCTCCTCACAGCCTTTCACTCCGGGGCTGAAATGCAGCTCCACATGGAACCTCTCCTCGGACGACGGGTCCTGCAGAGGCCACACGGTGGATGAGATGGGCCCAAGGGCTCAGCTGGCTCCGCTCTGGCCGGCCCCGCCCTCACCTGGTTGTTGTCCTCGTACAGCATGATGACGATCTGGGTCATGTAGTTCAGCTCCGAAATGGCTCCCAGGTAGTCCATGGCCCTCTTCCACTGGGCATCTTTCGAGGCCTGGCATGGAAGAGAGGGGCAGAGGGAGGCCGGACGGAAGTCCTGGCAAAGCTGGGCAGGAAGCCCTGAGTAAGAGGGCCTCGGGGAGTTGCTGCTGTCTTCCCTCCCCTCCTGGCTGGCCTCAGGCAAAGGCAGCTCCCCTTCCTTCTGCAGCCCCACAGGACTCCAAAGCCCATCACGCAGTCAGCTGCCCCTCAGACCAGGGCCAAAAGGAGGCTTAACAGGGACCCACCAAAGAACGGCCCTCCACGGGGCCCCAGCCCCTGGAATAGGAGCCCCTGTCCGTGGGGCTCAAAGCTCCGTGCCTGAACGTAGCAGCCCCAAGTGTCCCGGTGGAGGCTCCCCACTTACATCTAGCAGGCCTCCGTAACGGAAGATACTAAGCAGGGAATGGACGTGGCTCTCACTGGTGAAGTACAAACGTGTCCGGACGTGGCGCCCTGGAGACAGGACTCCCCTGGAATACCTGCAAGCAGACCGGCCAGGGAGCAAGAGTCACCCTGCTGGGCAGGCGGGGCCGGGTCACCAAGGCCCCCAGGGCCCCCTCTGCAAGGGCAGGAGCCGGAGGAAGGATCACAGCTCAGTGGCTTCCCGTATTCAGACAGCCCAAGCCCCCCCGTCATCCCGCCTGGGGCAAAGTGGGCCTTTGCCCATGTCTTACAAGGGGTGCAGCTTGTTGACGGACTCGTCCTCGTGGGTTCGCTGCAGATCCAGCTGGATCTTCTTGATGAGAGGCTGGCAAAAGCCCACTGCAATCTCCAGCTTCTCCTCCTGGCTGATGCCGTACTCCTGCGAAAGGCCGGAGGGTTTGCAGGGCAGCCTCTGCACAGCCTGGCTGGGGTGGCTCGGCAGCAGGGGAGCGAGGCTTGCCCCATACCTGGGGAATGACGACATCTGCCAGCGCCTTAGAGAGCCGGAGCAGCTCCTGGGGGCCTTCTAGCTGCAGGGCAGCGTTGTGCTGGATGTCGTACTTGACACAGTCGTAGATGTCGGGGATCTTGCTGATGTCATACCGTCGGTTCTTCAGTCGGAAGTCTTGCTCCAGCTTCCTCCAGCGTTGCAGCATCAGCTCCAGGGTCTCGCTGTGGTACAGCTGCAAGTCTGCCAAGTCAGAACAACCTGTCAGTGCCGGGCGAAGGGACAGGTCGGCTGAACCCCGGCTGGCAGACCAGCTCCTTCTGCAAAGAGCCACCCCCGCCCCAAAACACTGCTGCCCCAGCACCACGCCTGGCTTTGAGAAGAAAGAAACGCCCGGACAGCAGATGAGGTAACTCCTTTTGGAGAGGAGCCAGATGCGAGGCCTCCTGAGGTCTGTGCCGCTTTCACGCTCCCCAGACTTTGCCCCTTGTCCCAAGCTGCTCTTGGACCTTCAAGATAGTGGTGGGGTTCCATTTCTTTTACTACCGGTTCTGTGGGTGTGGCTTGGTGGGCGTGGCCATGTGACTGGGTGGGCGTGCCTTTTTTTTTTTGCTTTTTTTGCAACCACCCCTCCACATTTGGGGCCTCAGGCAAGCCTCCTGGGGGGCATGTTTGCTCCCAGAAGGCTCCCCTGGGGCTCAGGAAGGCAAAAAATGGAGGGGGGGGCTGCGCCTCTCCTTCCATTTTTTGCCTACTTGGGCCCCAGCAAGGGGAGTCCCAGCACATATGAACAGCTGATTGTCAGGGTGGAAAAAAAAAAGAAATACCTTAAGGGGCGAGCATCAGGCGGGCAGGGTGAGCGAGCCCATGGTGACTGGGCGACCGGATTGGGGGCATGGCCAGCCAGAACTTACCACCGTTTGGCGACCCACACCAAACCCTTGCTTCCAGGTCGTGTGAACCGGTGCAAACCAGCTGAATACCACCACTGCTTCCAGAGTTTTATTGGAAAAGCAAAGATCCGCCACCTCAGAAGCTGCCCACTGTGTCACGGGCCACGTCCAGACAACACCTGCTTTGGTTCTCCTGCAAAGGAAACGGCTCTCGTACCAGCAGACTTGGGGTCCTCCAGACGTTTCTGGATCTGGGAAGTGAGGCTCTCAATCAGCTCAAAAACTTGTTCACAGGTCTCCACTGGATTCCCAATGATTCCCATGGACTTGATGAGTGAAGTACTGCCTGTTGGCGCCAGCTGGAGAGAAATCAGAGCCAAGGGTCAAAGTTGCCCATGATGGACCAGCCAGGCTGCTGCCCAGATTTGGGCCAACTGGCTCCATCATCCTCAGCTGCCATCTCTGGCGTGCAGGACTTGAAAGCAGAAGCCACTGGGAAATATAGTCTATTTCACTCCGCCTTGAGGAATGGCTGCATATGGAGGGTTTTTTGCACAGCAAGAATCCTGACTGCGCATGTGATTGGAAACCAAAACCCTGACTGGAGAGGCCAAGTGTTAGCAAGATTTGATAATAATGGCTATAATCCAATTGGCTTTGAATTCTAGTAGATTCATAGGGTTGGAAGAGGCCTTCTAGTACAAACCTTGCTCAAGGCAGAATACCTTATACCATCCTGATCAAATGGTTGCCCAGTCTATTATTGAAAACATCCACCCACAACTCTGGCAAGCAAGCTGTTCTATTAATTCATCAATAATCATTGATCATCCCAATAATCAACTTTAGGAACTGCATGTATTTGCATACTTCTACTTTTTTTGAAAGTTTATGTACCCTTATTACATTATTCTAATTGGATGCCAATGAAAAGATGACCAACCTATTTTTGATAAAGGTTCATTTCTGACAGTTTCTTAGATAAGCAAAAAAGATAGTGTGTGTGTGTGTGTGAGAGAGAGAGAGAGACACACACATCTATAACTCCTGCGTAAACTCTCCAAGCTTCTAGCAACTCAGATTTGTTGAAAATTGAATTATGTTACAGTCCTTAGCAGAAACCACACGTAGTCCTAAAAGTTACTATGGTGGTGGCTCTCCAGCACTGCTGATCCTTCTATAGAGCCACCTCATTCCTGAATGCCTTTCCCTGAATGGTCACTATTCGCTTGGGATAGCTCCGTATTGGGATAAAATAATCAGCATTATTTCCTTTTTTATTCTTTATCGCCCATTAAGGAGGCAATTTGTCAGGAGACGTTCAAGCTTCAGAGGGGAATGGCTAGTTCCCCTACAGGCTTAGGTTTGGCAGTGCTGTCCATTTTGTGCAGCCGAGCTCGATACCAGGTGATGGAGAATGAAAACTATCTTTATTCTGGGACGCCACTCCTTAGAAACCTCTTTCAAGACCTCCCTAGATGGCTCTAAACCCCTGGGGATAGCAGAGTGTGGCGATGTCTCCGGCTGAGCCCACAGCATTCCTGCCTCAAGGGGGCAGGTGGGGGTCGGGGGGGGTGTCTTTTTCTTCTTGCTCTAGCAAGAGGTGCCCCCAGCAGGAGGTTTTCGATCTGGCTGGCTGCCCTCCTCTTTCTTGTCTCCTCCAGAGAAGCTGTGTGTAAAAATGCAGCTTTCAGTAAGACCACCAACAATAGAACAAGTACTCTTTGTAACAATACATTAAGCAGGATTCATTTTCAAAAAGGCGAGGATAAGATGGCCTCGTAATAGGTCCGATTTCTAGGGACTTAATGCACACCTCTGTGCAGTTTCCTTGGCAACCACATAGAAGTAGATGGCTTTGGCCTTTTGCTAGGATCAATGTTTGAATCCCATGTTTAGGAGCAGCGCGAGAGCTCACGGTTGAGACGCTGGGCTTGTCAGCTGGAAAGCTGGTAGCCTCGGTTCAAGACCCAAGTGCCACACCACAGGGTGAGCTCCCGTTACTTGCCCCAGCTCCTGCCAACCTAGCAGTTTGAAAGGTTGCAAGTGCAAGTAGATAAAAACTTTGGGGAGAAGCTAACGGTATTTCCTATTTTCATGCAGGCACATGATCACAGAAGCACCTTTGGACAACACTGGCTCCCTCGGCTAAGAAACAGAGATGAGCTCCACCTCCTTGAGTTGTGTCAGTGTATATAAGGTTCATAAATTGGAATAGACGTGGTAACAGGTCAGCCAATGCGGACTGTTCGGTGACCAGAGGGCTCGGAGCCTGGCTTAGGTTCACATATATATGAGTGGCTCTGTAATATATGAATGCTTCTGTGTTTATATGGCTTCTGTGATTATGACTTCTGAATTCTGAGTTCTGGTTCATGGGTCTTGTATACGTGCAATATTTGATATTGTTGTATATAAAGAAGTTTCTTTTATAAATGAATCCTGCTGAATTATTTTCTCATGTGCTGGTTGGATTGCTGCAAACTTTGGCAAGTTGGAAACAACGAGGCAGGGGAAACCTTTAAAGCTTTTTCGGCGCAGCCTTGCCCATCCCCCACCAAACTCAGTCCAAGCCTAACCTTGTTCATCAGGCAAGGCTGCTGCTGAGACAGCCCTGCAGGAAGAAGCTGCCTTTCCGACTAGCCGGAAGCAACAGAGGAGCCAGTGAAGCACCACTCCCGAGTTTTGCACCTGGCCGGGCAGTACAGAGGGACACCAAAGTCCACCTTAAACCACGGGATTCAAGGGGGATCTCCCACTGTAGTCCAGCAGGCAGGAAAGGGCCACCATGCAATTCCCAAGACATTATGCTGCCCCAGGATTCCCTCATGTCCAGGGTTGCAAGAACATCAACGTGGTAGCACTTTCTAGCTCTCTCTTCCAGCAAAGAGAAGAAACCAGAGCAATCAGGTCACTTCTATAGGATATCCCAAAGAAAAGGTAAACAAAAATGCATTTAAAGAATATTGTTTCTTCCATGTGTGGGCACCTTGCCCAGGGAAAGGGCTTCTGGAGCTGGGTGAGTGCAATCCAGCCCTCAGTTTCCAGGCCCTCTCAGTGCCTGATTCACTTGGTTCAGTTGTGCCTCCTAAAGTGACCGGCCAGAGTTTAGGAAAAAGGCTGCGACCTTCACCGCTACCCTAAGCTCCTCCTCTTCACCTTGAGAGCAGATGAGCCTGATCAGGCCAAGGCCCCTCGCCTACCAGAGCCCGTTCTGGGTGGCCAAGAAAGACCCGGGCAATTCTTTGAAGAGCAACCTTCTTGGGAAGGCCTTGGCCGGGGCACTTCCAACCACTCCACTAGTGCTCTTCCGTGCCCCCACAGAGGGACCCAAATTTATGCCACAAAACAGAGCTGCCACGCCCCAGTTTCCACAAAGGCCCTGAAGCCGTCCTGTCAGAGAGCTTCCCTTCAGCCAGTGCAGCAGCAAAAGGCCGTTATCAGCCCGATGGAACAACCTTTGGCTGCCTTTCTGATGGCTAGCAAAGTCTGGGACCTTTCAGCCATTTTTCTGGAATTGGGGCGCCCACAAAAACCTTTCTCAAGGCCAAAGAAATGCGCCTCCGTCACCTTCTCATAGTCCTCTGAGCAGAATGAGGCGTCTTTCTGCATGATTTCTCGCAGACGAGCCTTCACCCGGTGCTGGCAGCTGCTGAGGGAGTCACTGTCGCTATCCAGCAGGCCGTTCATGTTGGCACTCTTCACCATTTGCACTAGGATGGGCGTCAGCTCCCCCTCCAGAGCAAGGAGGCCCTGTGGGAAGACACAGCGTCAGCCTCTCCCCCCACCCTCCACTCTGCAGGACCCCTGCTCTAGCCAGGCAGCGGGCTGGGGGGACACTGAGGGTCAGGAAAGGACCCAAGCCCTCCTACAGTCTCTGCTGGCCTGACTGGAATGCCCCCTCCCAGAAGAGTCCCGTCCCCCCACCCCGGAACCTTTGCAAAGGCTGCTGCCGTCATCTGGACTCGGCCCTCATCGGAGGCGTAGATCTTGAGATCATGGCGGTAGGTGCTGTGCAGGCGAAGGAGGCCGCAGCCTGGAAAACCAGCATAGTCTCCTGGGCAGGAAAGAGAAGCCCTGTGGCTGTTCCAGGAGTGTGGGCATTTAATTTTCACAGTGCCCTCTTTAAAGGGCAGAAAGCCCACTGAGCAGGCAGGGTCGCCAGGGCATCTGGCACCCTTAAGCAGAGCGGCAGGTCAGAGTATTGGAAGAGAGACCGTTTCTGAGCAGATAAAAAGGAGGCAGGATGGATAAGAAGAGCCACAGACACCCAACTGGAGAAGCCCAAAATTCCCCTCCTGTCAAGGCCAGCCCAAAACTTCACAGCACACGCCCAGGAGTCCTTCTCATGCCCAGTCTCCAATCACCACCATTCTTCTGCTGCTTGCTGGCTGGCTGTTCCAGGAAGATTTGGGGCTCTTTCCTGCTTTGAGACCAGCAGCTGCGCTGCAGGCATGGAGCTCAGACCAAGAAGAGTCGCCTGCTGTCACCGGAGCCCCACTCCAAAGCACAGAAGACCAGCCTGGCTCACAGCAGCCGCCCCTCCAATGACTTACAGAAATCCACGCCGTCCCCTTGTAGCTCAGCCAAAAAGGAGAGCCGGGTATCTGTTATGTCAAGATGGCCTCAAGGTGCCTGGTTCACCTGCAACGGACCTTTTGGCTTGGGAGGGAGAGCGGGATGAGACCCCCCCCCCCGACTCACAACGGGGACGAGGGCACGAAGCGGTTCAAGGGAGAGGGAGAAGGCCCTGGGCACGAGAGGGAAGTGGGGGGCTGCCAAGGGTTATGGGGAAAGGATGCGGGCTGAGGAGGCCGCTTTAGAGGGGAGGGGCCACGCGAGACTGGCTGCTTGCTTCCTGCTTCCCCTGCCCAGCATCCCCTGCGTCACAGCCCTCAAATGACCAGAGCAGCAGGAAGCAGGAGGCCAAACTGCAGCTCCTCGTGGGAAGCTCAGGAGCGGAATCGTGAGGGAGCCAGCCGTGCAGGGCATCCAAGATCTACTCTATTCACAGAAGCGTTCACTCAGCTTCTGAACTCTGAAGGCCTCTTGATCGGGAAAGGCCAGTTCCACCCTGAGACCATCTTGCCTGATGAGAAGTTGTGAGCACTCAAAAGTTGCCTTACTGCCCAGGACTGTGGAGGCTGGGTAGGACTCCCAAGGCGACCCCCATCATCACTGCCCTTGAGACCAGGGCTGCCCCAAGGGCTGCAATCTGATTCCACCCACAGCCCAGACGATCCTCTCGGTGGAGGTGCAGAGGCCAAAGAGCACTCTGACCCCTCCTTGGCGGTGGCTCCCAAGACGCTGTCAGCTGCTGCCTCTGCCTCCCCGCAGCAAGCCAAGCCAAGCCCAGGCTCACCTTGGCCCCCTGGATACATGCAGCGGAAGGCTCGGCCCAGCTCCTCTGCTTGCACTCGGCCGGCAGGCGTCAGCTCGCCCCCCCACTTCAGCACCAAGAGCAAAGACGGGGAGCCTTCCTTGAGATCTGCACACAGCAGAGAACCAGAGTCACCTCCTGCCAGGGCTGGGCGGGGAGAGCAATAACGCGGAGACTCACAACCCTCCTCTCCGAGCAGTTTACAGGGTCAGCCTCTTGCCCCCAAAAACCTGGGTCCTCATTTCACCACCTCCAAAAGATGGAAGGCTGAGTCAACCTGGAGCTGGTGAGACTTAAACTGCCAAACTCCTGGCAGTTGGCAAGTGGCAGAATTAGCCTGCAGTATTGAAGGAAGACCTACTGGTGAAACTGGAGGAGGGGAGGTTGCTAGGGGCCTCTGAGGCCTGGAAGCTGCCCTAAAGCTAACCTCAGTTCTGCCTCCCCCGTCCTCTTATCAGTTGGCACTTTCCCCCTAAGTGGGGATTCTTTGGCAAGGGCAGCGGGGGTGGGGGGGTAGCAGTAACTCCCCTTCTTCACAAGGGTTGGCATTTCAACCGAAGCTTTCTCAGCTTACATTCTCAATGTCCTCATTGACCCCCATTCGCCCACCCCCCAGAATGGCCCTCCTTGTGTCTATAGGTGCGTGCATGCAATCAGGGTCTTCATCCTATGAAATTGGCAGGGCGCTTCTGCAACCGCCATCCTCTCCCACAGCTGCCTTCATGACCCCACCCTGCAAGACCCCAATACCTGCCTTCCTCTTCACTGGATGCCTTCAGGTGCCCATGAGGCAGGTAGGTCAGTTGCACTTTGCGGTTGATTCCGGAGAAGTGCCCGTACCTGCCAGGACAACAAAGGGCCACATGAAACCTCTGACTTTACACACCACAACTGCGGAAGCAGCAAGGACACCCAACTGCCTCCCTCCTGCCCAGAGAACTGTTGGGGTGCAAAAGGGAGTCACTCTTTCTGGGGACATGCGGGAAAGTGCAAGGGTGGCTTGCAAGGTTGATTTTACTCTCCCAGAGGCCGGGGAGTGGGCAGAGGGGCCACGGAGACCAGTCCCTGCTCACATCTCCAACACGGTCTTGAGCTGCTCCGGCTTCGACTTCTGCTCCTCGGCCACCGCATCCCCGAGAGCGCCCTGCTCCTGCACCAGCAGTCGCGCAATGTCCAGCACCTCCTGTCGGGGCAAAGGCTTGTTCAGGTCTGGGGGCCCAGGGGCTCTAGGAATCAAAGGCACAAGCTCCTTGGCTGCCCAGGCTCTCGCCCCCCCCCCGCTCCCTGCCCCCCCCTCCAGGAAGACAAGCACAAGACCAACCAATGGAGGGAGGAAGCTGCACCTGCAGGGCTCCTCTCGGACCAGAGGGAGCCCCCAACTCACCTGAAGCTGCTCCGGCTTTTTCAGCTTCAGTTTCCCAGTCTTGTGGCCCTCATATTTTTCAAACAGAACAAAGAACCTGGCAACAGCAGAAGCAAAGCAGGTTACTGACATTATTGCTTGCTTGGGACACTTATGCATTCCTTTTCCCGGCAGCTCATGTTGTCCTGGAGCCTTTTTGTCCTGCAGAAGAGAGCCCGGCTCCAAGACACCCAGGGACTCCCCCATACCTGGGATGCTTCACTTCCATCTTCATCTTCTGTTTTGGGGTCCGATCACCATGCCTTATAACTGCAATCACACACCGTAGCTCCATCCTGCAAGAGAGAGGCTTGAGCTCATATCCCACCCCCACCCCTCCTTCCTTCCTACAATGGCCAATGCCTAGGAGACCCCAAGGCCTCCTCTGATAGCGCAAGGGGGAACTCTGGAGTGGTGGTCCTATTTACAAATACAGTCGAGATATACTCGGGATAGGAAAACATGGGGCATTAATACAGAACCAACGACACTAGACAAACTGTTGACAGGGACTGATGACAAACTGATTAAGGTGCTGTATAGATATCTATTAGAATATAAACTAGAGGAAGACCATGTCAAAGAGACAATGGTGGTATGGACTAAAAATTTCGGATACAATATCAAATTGGCAAAATGGCAAAATCTTTGGAAAAATTATAGGAAACTAACAATGGCTACGGCATATAAGGAAAATCTATTCAAGATATTCTACAGGTGGCATGTTCCCCCCAGACTCGCCAAAATGTTCAAAAATTTATCACCAAAATGCTGGAAGTGTAAGAATTTAGCAGGCACATTCTACCACGTGGTGGACGTGTAATCATCGCAAGACAATATTGGAGATTGATACAGACAATGGGTGGAGCAAACACATTCAATTTAAGCCAGAAATATTTCTTAGGGATAATGACAGAAGGTCACAGCAAGGGTATAACATTTAATAATACATGTGTTGACAGCGGTGAGAATGGTTTATGCACAATATTGGAAAAATGAAAGTATATCACCGAAAAGAGAGATAAAGAAAATAATGGCTTGTGCAAAATCTGATAGATTAACTTTAATACTGAAAAATAAGAGGGAATCAGAATATGACGATACCTGGAATAAGTTTTATCTGTGATTGCAAAAAAGAGGGGAAGGTTAGAACAAAAATAGCTAGGATGATTAGAATCAAAATGTAAATACTGTACCAATAATAGGAATGTTAATGGTTTGCTTATATTTTTGTATGTAAGGCAAAATAACGCCAAAACGGTTGCACTTTGCTTGATACTTATAGTCTTTAGAGCTAAAAGGAGAAGCAGCCTCTGCACAGCACCAGGTGGGAATGGGGCCAAGGCTCCCAAGACGGAAAAGCTGCCTTAATTCAAGACAGGCAAAGACTTTACCTTAGTCCGGAGTTTGAGGTACTATTTCATTTTCCTTACTTTAGAAATGTGAAGATGGCTCTGGGTGTAGAACAAGGCAGGAAATGTTAGAAATAATTGGGAAATTCTATTCAGAGCTATACATAGATCAAGATCACTCAAAAGGAACAACACTCACAAAAGAGGAAATTAAAGATATCTTAGTGGCAGAACTATCAAGTGCTATAAAATCAATGAAAAATGGCAAAGCTTCAGGAAATGACTGCGTTATGTCTGAAATGCTAAAAGCTGGTGATCACAGTTTACACAAGATACTAGCAAAACTCTACTTGAGATGCTTCAGAGAAGAAAAAAATACCCGAGGCAGGGGAAAATGCTGAAGTGATTCTTATACACAAGAAAGGAACCCAGGATGATTTAAAGATCTATCACCGAATCAGCCTCCTTTCAGTCATCTATAAGGTTTTCACCAAGATAATAGCAAAAAGAATATTGAGAACATGATGCACAGCCAAAGGAGCAGGCAGGGTTCAGAAGTAGTGACAGTAGAGTGGATCACATCCAAGGTGTTCAGCAAAATGGCACAATGATTACACCAGGCCTCCTTGTCTACGAAAAGGCCTTTGATTCCTTTTTCCAGCCAGCAATCATTAAGGCATTGCTTAACCAAGGCGGTGATTCTGCTTACATAAACTTACTACAATCAATATATGAAAATTGCAACCATTTGCCTTAATGATCTTAAAGTGGAAATCAGCATAGAACAAGGTGTATGATAAGGCAACACAATATCACCTATCCTTTGCTTGAAGAAGTATTTCGCAAACCAGGCTGGAATAAAAATCAATGGCGCCTATTTATATCACCTAAGATTTGCAGGTGATGATATTCTCTTCTCGCAAGACTCAGAAGAGCTATAAAGACACATACAAGAACTGCACGAAGTAGAACCATTCAGCTTAAAAATAAACCTGAAAAAGAGCCAAGTTATGTTTAATAAATTCACCAAATAAAGAAAAACTTTTATATCTGAGAAGAACTAGATGTAGTAGACCACTACATATACCTTGGCCAGCAGATTTCAATGGAAGGTGATACAATAAAGGAAACCGAACAACGTGGTTGTCAGGCGAACTAAGTGTAATTTTCAAGAACAACCTCCATCTATGCCTGAAGAGAAACGTTTTTGATCAGTGTGTGCTACCTGCTCTAACATATGCCAGTAAAACACAGACACTCACCTCACAATTGATACAAACATGAACACTCACCTTGCAATCAATACAAAAGCTAAGAACAGTGCAAAGAGACATGGAAAGAGACATGCTCCGCATTATGAGACAAGATAGAAAGGCATCCTGCACATGGGTTAGAGAACAAACGCAAGCATACGATACCATCAAGAGAGTCAAAAGGAAGTGGGCTGGTCACATAGCAACAAGAATTGAGGGAAGGTGGACCGAGGCAGTCATAGAATGGATCCCACTTGCTAAAAAAGAAGGAAAGGAAACCTGAAACAAGATGGAGGCAACATCAGCAATGATGGCGGCCCCAGTTGGCAAAAGAAAGCTCAGGACCGCATTGGTTGGAAACATGTGGAAGAGACCTTCATCCTGCAGTGGATAAACAATGGCTAGGATGATGATGAGGATGATGATGACGAAGATGAAATTTAGAATACTGGAGCTATAAAATCTTCCATTTTAAATTTTATAGTACATTTAAGCTTTTACAAAAACCCTTGTCTTTCTAAAGATTCTGATGACCAAACGCCACCTACATTTCCAATCGCTGTTCCCACAGTCCCAGAAAATATGGTTCCATTTTTTTCATCGCCACCAACCAACAGGAAAAGAGAACAGCCAGAAGTTCCTGCCCTTGGGCTCTCCGACCACCCTCGCTGGCCTGGTCTCCCCCTTGGCTTCCCTGAACCTCCTACAGCCGAGTCTCAGAACTTGGGCACTGATTTCAGCTGAACTCCAGGAGCTGCTGTGGGCCTTCAGCCCAAAAGAGACCACGCCAAAATCTTCAGCAGAAGAAGAGGGAAGGGCGGCATTTCACCTGATCTGTTTTTGTTACGAGCACTTTCAGAGACTGAATTTTTTGTATCCAGAAGCTCCTGCACATTAATACCAACTCTATCTTGTTATCAGAAAATCCAACAATACCGCAAATAGCACCCCAAACCTACGTGGTCTTTCTAAAAAAGAATGTGCCTCCTACTGACAGGCCAACCTCAGGAGCCGTCATCACAAGTGGTGACCAGAAAGGGAAGCATGGCCAACACTAACATTGTCCCTGATGTGGTGGGCACGATGGGGATGTCTTCTGCTTCTGTGGGGATGGACCAGGGGATCTGGAACTGGGGAGCCATTTCACGCATGATGATGTTCCTGGCAGAGAGAGGAGGGACTGGTTGGAAGGGCCATCAGCCCAAGGCAGACAGGATTCAGACCAATGGTGCTCTGGTCCCTTCCTCCTCCCCTTCCAGGAGGGGACGATCAACCGAAGCACCACACACCCAAGGAGCTTGGCACAGTCATCATAGTACTTCATGGAGTTCTTCACAAAACTGAAGCCGTTGACATCGCAGACAAAGGACTGGCCGTTGGCCCGCAGTAAGTCAAAGCCGCACACCGTCTGCTGCAAAGGGAAGGCCCCAGGGAAAGGACTCAGGACTCTTTAAGGCTCTCTACCAACCGAAGGAGACCCTCAGGCCCTCCCTGCCGCCCTGCACTGCAGGAGACTGCAGGAGGAGCCCCCGTTTCCCTGCCATAATGTTAGCAGGGAGCTGCGGGGACTCTCCGAAGCAGCACCTACAGCCTGAGACTTCAGAGCCAGGGAAGACCTGTGTGGGGAGGGGAGGGTGGCCCCAAGACCGGTCCAGGCATTCCAGGCCTCAGCAACAAGAGCTTACAACTTTCAGGGAGGGTTCCAGGAGGCCCCAAGTCAGAGGGAAAGACTAACCTTGAAGGCCACACAGACTTTTCGGGCCACCAGCTTCTCTATGGCTGTTAACATAACTGGGTAGCGGATCTCCTTCCCTTCACTGTCCCGTTCCACCTTCCCATCGAGAGCAGGGGACTTCCGTGCCTCGGCGTGTGCGTAGTCGGGACCCACGGTGTAGACCTGGATGAAAGAGCACCAGCGCTCAGAGCTGCCAAGAGGGCCTGAAAGGAGCCCTGGTGACCAGCTGAGAGGACTCCCCCGCAGGCCCCACACACGCCCCCTCCTACCTTGACATCCGTGCCATCTGTAGGCATGAACTCCTCGTAAATATACGACCCGGTCTTCCGCACGCTGCTCTCTGGAGAGTAGACGCTGCTGCGGCTGCCAATCTGAAACCATTCAGGAACTCAGCTAGAGAGGCGAGCTGCCCCTTGAAAGAGCGGGGCCATGAGCAGCCCTGGAGCCTCACGCCAAGGGGTAAAAGACACCTCCACCTGGGCAGCAGGGCCTGAGAGGAACAAAGCCCAGGAACCTCTCCTGGTTTTCAGTCACAGCATTGAACGGATTCCCCAACTCCTGGGCCGTGGCCCACTGCCTCTTGCCTGCTTCCAACGGGGCCACGCAAGCCATGGGCAAGTGTGCACATGCACGAAGCTCCACTTGCAAGCGTGGTGGCCAAGCACGTGAGCGGAGCGCTACTCCTACGAGCAGTGGGTACTTTCGCTCACGCACGAAGCTCCACTGGCCCAAGCAGAGGGTGTTTGTGTGTGGCTCCATTTATGTGAACGGAGCTTTGTGCACCAACCCAAGCGCCCTCTGCTCAATGGGAGCTCCGAGTGTGTGCAAGCGCCTTCTGCTCATGCACGAAGCTCCATTTACGCGAAGGGAGACCGCACGCACCCGCAACTCACACCAAAGGAGTTGTGTGCACGTGCAGGTGCCTATCGCTCACACCCCTTCCCTTCCGCACTGGGCCCGGCAACCAAGGTGGAAAGGTTGGGGACCGCTGCCTTATGCCGCTGCTTATTTCCTACCAATGGTGTTTAAAATGGGAAAGAAGACGTTATTACCGTAGTTCAATAAAACTATAATCCCATTACCTTCGTTCCAGCTGAGCCCAATCAAAAGCGCTTTAATCTTAATCAACTTCTGGAATTCAGATTGCCACTTTACTGAATATTCAAAGGAAGTAAAGATACCCCGGAAACACACGTTACCTTAACTTCTCAAATCTGGCACCTGAAAGGGGACCCAACCCCAATGACCCTGGTGCCAGTGAATCGCCCTTCAACATTTGACGGACATGGATTGTGCTGTGCCCTGTGTCTCTTTGGCTTGGGATTCCTGCTTTGGTTGTATGAGTCACACAATCTCCTGGGGAAAAGTCTAGAAGAATCCCAGGGCCCTCAGAATTCAATAGATGTCGGCCAGTGCACTGCTATTGGGAATGCCCCCCATCAGGCAGATGGTGCCCAGCCGAGGCCGCAGCCTTCTCACCTTGCGGAAAAGGCGCTGGCTGCCCCCGCCAGCCGAAGAGGGATAGTAGATGTAGACGTTGTGGTCCTCAGCACTGACCGGCTTTTCCACAAAGGGCTTGGGGAAAATGGCCCCATTGACCTCCACGTGGTCCTCCCCCTCCACCAGGCTGCATTCTGCACAAACATACAGAGCCTTCAGAGACAGGAAGCTGACCCCCCCCCCTCAATTTTCCTTTCTTGGGGAGCTACGGAGCCTCCAGACAGCCAGGATCATCCTTGGAGGAGGCTGGCTCTGGCTCTGAGTGTCAGGGAGGGCGGGGGAGGCTGGAAAGCCACTCTGCAAAATGGCTGCACTAAGCGGGGGGTGAGGGGGGCATGAGAGGTCAAAGGAATTGGGCACACCTGGAGAGGAGGCAAGGGGGGTAACGGGTGGTGAATGGGTGGAGGTAAGTAAACCTGTGGCCTAAGGGAGGATCAAGGGAAACACAGGGCTAGTCTAGATCGGCACTGAGGATGTTCCCTAGTTTGGGTAATGAAACCTCTGCAAGAAAACCGCCAAGCTCAGAGAAGACGAAGGACTCCTCCTGAGTTACCAATACTTTCCTCTGTCGAGCAAGGAGGGCCGGCTCTTGAGCAGGCATCCCCCTGAGCTTTCCTGGTGCTGCTTTGCACAAAAGGCAGAAGCTGCTTCCTCTCCTGAGGGCACCTCTCAGGCCGCGCCTCCTCTGGCGCCAAGGCTCTCCTGGCTGTGCTCTGGGCAACAAAGGAGACGGCCCTGCACGAGGCGGTGCTGCACATCTGTTCACGAGGTTTCCACAATGCCTCTTAGCCCTCCCCAAGTAGGCTGCACAAATGCCGCCACATGTTGTGCATTCTCAGGCCCTGGCCAAGGGGGCACCTTCCTCCTTGTCTGGCAGCTGACCCACCTGCCTTTGCCTCCAAAGTGGGCCAGGGAGGGGGCTCGGCCCTGCTTGCCCCACACTCACCCTCTGGGCGATCAGGGTCCCGGTTGAGCACCGCATAACGAGGCAGGTCCACTCCTTCCTCCTGCAGGATCCGGTACACCTCCCGCCTACAGAGGATGGGAACACAGGGTGAGGCGGCGTGACCGGTTCGGCCCTTCCTGCTTCCCGGGTCCACCCGGGTGGCCATAGCACAGCTCAGCTTGGCCACATTCGGACCGCAGCGGTTTGCAAGGAGTTTACTTCGCTCCAGTCTGCCTTGCTCCTCCCTGCTGCTGCTGCTAGTTAACCAAATTCCGGCTCCTAAGCTGCTTCCACCCCAAATGACCCAAAGACCTGGTGGAAGATCAGGGTGCAGATTCGGCCCTCTGCTGGAGGCACCATGTACCATGCAGCCCATAATAACCCCACAAGTTTATCCACCTCCACAACCCTACCTGTCCTGGATGTAATATTGTGTATCCAGGTCGTTAATCAGAAAAGGATTGCGGAGCTTGGCATAAGCAACGGCTTTGTCCAGAGGGAACCCTGGAAGATTCGGGGAGGAAAACCATGTTGACCACGACCTGAGCACCCAGGCAGGAAGAGGAGCCCGGACGCCAGCTGGCCAACCTTTGGAGTGGAAGGAGATGAGGCAGTCGCAGGCCGGCCACTTCTCCACTGGCTCGTTCAGGATGACGTCTTCCCCCATGATCACCACCGTGATGTATTCGAACTTGCACAGCCGCTCCAGGATTTGGGTCATGGGCTTCGATTTGGACTTTTTGGTCATGGCGCAAATGCCAACCACAATCTGCCGTTCTGGAGGCTGCAAGAGAGCCACAGCAGCAGCAGCAGCAGCGTCACCCTGGGCGGTGCGGGGTCTGGCAAAACCGGGCTCTTCCGTAGTAAAGTCAGGCCCGAAATCAAAGCAAGGGCTGAGGGGGGGGGCTATTCCCACAAAGACGCAGGCAGGCCCGAACTAGGCCCCCCTCCAGGGGACTCCCAGGCCCCCCCCCGCTCCCCCCCCCAGGCCGGCACGGCTCCTTCCGAGGCAGGCCGAGCAAGAAGCCCCTTTACCGACTCTTCCTCCTCCTCCTCCTCCTCGTCCTCAAAGAAGGGCAGCGGCTCCATCTTCAGCTCTGCTCCCGGGAAGTCCAGCTCCTCATCGCGGGAGCCCACGAAGAACTTAGCCGCGGAAGCGCCCGCCTTCAGCTCGCCCGTCCAGGACGACATGCCAGAGCGCGCAGCCAACCATCCCGCTCTGCAACGAGCAGGCCGGCGTCAGCAGCGGCCGCCCAGGGAGCCCCGCCCGCCGCCCGCCGCCCGCCGGAGCCTTACACTGCCGCATCCTTGGGGCTGCGGGCGGGCTCCGGAGGCAGGAGAGGGCCGAGCGGCGCCCGGCCTGCCCGCGCCGATCTTCGCAGCCTGCCAGGACGGCGAGCCTTCGGCCGGCGGGGCCGCGGGAGGCACCCGGAAGCGCTCGCGCTCCGGCCGGGCACCAGCGGGGAGTCGGGCCGGCCTCCCGGACGCGCCAGCCCCGCCTGCCAGAGCGGCCGCGGGCGGGGAGGCGCTTGGCTCGCCCGAGGCTCCGCCCGCCAGACCGCCGCCCGCGAAGGGCAGGCCGCCCCGGGGGGAGAAGCGGCTGCCGCGGCCCCCGGCTCTGGCGGGGGAGGAGCCGCGGCCCCGCCTTCTTCCCCCGCCGCGGCTCGGGGCTCCCAGGCAGGGACGCCCCCCTCCCGCCCAACCGAGGCCCGGGGGGTGGGGGGGGCGCGGCGGGCGAGGGCCGGAGGCCGGAGGGAGAAGCGGGCGGGCAGGCCCTGCGACGGCGCCCCCGGGCAGCGGCGCCGGAGAGCGGGCCGACTCAATCCCGGGCAGCAGCCAGGCGAGGGCGGGGCAGCCCCGAGCCAAGTTGTGCTTGCGAAGGAATCCAAAGGTCGCCGAGCGTACCTGGCAGCGGTCACCTCGACACACCTGCCCGGGGAAACAAAGTCCAGCCACACCTGGGAGCAGCGGAGGAAACGCCTCCTAGCACTCTCGGTGGAAGCCGGCCCTGCCCCTCCGGTTCCCGGAGGAGTTCTGCCCAGGCTAGGAATTGTCCTGGGTCTCTTCCGCCTCCTTCCTTTGGGCCCATTGCTCTGATCTAGGGCGATTGGTGGCCGTGATGGAACGTTTCACGCGTCTTTCGTGGTATCAGCTGTTCCCCGCGGGTTTGCCTTCTCTCCATCCGCTCTGCCTCTTCATGCTGAATCCTTTGGGAAGACTGACCTTGGAAGGAGACCTTGTGCATCGCCTGGGAGGGGCCTTCTAAGATTTGGTGGGGGACAAGAATGAGGGAGAGTAAGGGGTCCGGGGGGGGGTGTCTCTGAGCTTGGTGGTTTTCTTGACTCAAACCTGGCAACATCTTCAGCACTGCAAGAAAACCACCAAGCTCAGGGAGCCCCCAGGACCCCCCCCCCCAATTCAACTTGCAGTGCTACACATATTCTCCTCTAGGGATGATGGAGAGTCCCTGATAGGGGAAGAAGAGAAGGGGAAGCTATCATCAATATGGTGGGGGGGGGGGGGTTGTCACATCGCTCTCCATCTTGTCCTGCCCCCCATCCCCCCTGCTAAAAGGAGCTCTGTTTACACCCCAATTTTTTAGGATTGCGGACCATCAACAGGTCTCTGGGAGCTCTGAGGGAGGCACCATCCTACTGTGCACCCGAACACCTTTCCGAGGGTCTTTCTCTCTTTCTCTCTTGCTGGCAACCGAGGGAGAAATCCGACATGCCAAAGAAGCAGGAGGGGGAGAGAGGTGGTCAGCCGGAGCCTCCTTTTCCCATGGGGAGGGGGACCGTCCACCAGACAAAAGCCCAGAATCCGCTGTGCCCAGTCTGAGGCTCATCAACTGGAACCTATTGCCCACCTCCCAAGGCAGCCACCCCCAGGTTCTCCCATTCCCTTCAGCCACGGGGGTGGGGGGTGGGGGCTCAGCGGGGCCTCTGCCCTTGGGGTCCCTGTGCACCAGAAGAAGGAAAGAGCACCCCGCAAAGGGGTCTGCAGAGAACAGGGCCGGGTGGGCTCTGCATCTGGCCAGAGCAGCAGCGAATCTGCTCAGCATTTCCCAGCCCAGCCGCCCGCCTCTCCTCTTTCCTGGGGAGATCAGGTTTGGGTCGGGGAAGACTTGGATGAGAACCGCATTGCACAAAGAAGCTTCTTTCATCCCCGTTAAACATCTTGTGAGCAAAGCGGATCATCTCAGCGTCAAAATGGTGCGGAAATGCCCCGGGGTCGTTTGGTTGCTTGTCTCTTGGCTTGTTTTATTCTCCTCGGCGCGTCCCGGTGCGGGTGAAAAGGTGCCCAGTCGGGAGCGGGGAGGAAAGCGGGGAGGAAAGCAGCAGCTCCCAGCCAGCCTCGCCCAAGGGGAAGAGCAGCGCCGTCTCCAGAGCAGCCAAATTCCGACGTCGCCGCCGGTGGAAGAGGAGGAGGAGGAGGAGCGCCGAGCTCAGGACACAGCTGCGGGGCCGGGGGCCGGGCAGACGCCCGGGAGGGCCGGCTGCGGAGATCGAGGGCCGGCGGTGGGGAGCGGCAATTGGGGCCGGGGAGGGGGGGGGCGGCCCGCCTGACTGCCGTTGCCCTGCCCTGCCCTGCCCGGCGCTGTCCAGGCCGGGGTCGGTGCTGAAGCGCGCTCTGGGTGCCGCAGCCGCGCGCGGCGCTTCGGGCGAGGCCCCCGGGCTGGGCTGGGCCGGCCGGGCCGGCGCTAGGGCGGCGTAATCTGCGCTCCCCTCCCCGCGAGGCTTGCATTGGCGGCGCGTCTCCTCCCGCCTGGCTGTGCGAAGTCCTCGCCCGCCCGCCCGCGGCTCGCCTTCCTGCTTGGCGCCTTCGCTGCTCAGACTCCCCGCGGCGGCACCATGTCCAGCACCTTCGCCCGCGCCCTCTCCGCCCGCAGATCCGCCGCCCTCCTGGCCGCGGTGGGCGCCGCCGGCTCTCTGGGCGCCGGCTTCCTCTTCTCCCGCGACTCCCTCGGCCCCTCGGAGAGGACCAAGCGGCGCTTCTACCCGCCAAGGTAGGGCTCCCGGGGCGACTGGGGACGCGGCGGCCCCCGGGAGGGCTTCCCCGGAGCTGCAGCAAAGGGCCTGGGACGCCGTTGCGAAAGGCAACCCGGACCCCCGGCCGTGACCCCAGGAGCGCGCGGCTCCCTTAGCTCCGGCGCCGCAAAAGTGACCTTGGCTTTGGCCTTTAGGCACGACCAAGAGGGAGTCTGCTTTGCCCCTGAGCGACCCCCAGAAAAGGGGGTCTCCCCAGGGCAGCCAACCTGACTCCTGCCTCCCCAGACGCCCAGGGTGGCTTCCTCTCCCCAGCGCAGCTAAAGAGGCCGGAGAGAAACGCAGCAGTCGGCTTATGCTCTGGAGCCCTCTCTGCCTCAGCTCCTCCCGGGCCTTCTGGGGGCTTGGCGAGCTCCAGGTGTCCCTCCCCCACCCACAAAACAGCGCCAACCTCGGGGTGATTATCCTCCCAAGAAGGGCCCTGGAAGCATCCCCCCACCTTGGGCCAAACCGGGCAGTAGAGCCTGCCAGAATCCCGCCCGGAACAGGGAGGGGCCAAGCAAGGGTGGCAGGTGCCAAGCAAGCCGAGGCTTCTGGTGCAGCTTCCTTATCTGCAAAGGAGGAATGGAGCCCAAGCCCTGCCCACCTTTTGGGTTGCTGCTGGAGAGACCAGCCCGCTGCAGGCTGTTCTCTCCCGAGAAAGAGCCCTGCCGGCACCGGCTGTGGTGGTGGTTCCAATGGGAGGGAGGACCCAGAGCCCTCCCAGCACCTCCCCAGCCTCCACCCCTTCCTCAAGACACCTTAGAAGAGTTCAAGGACCCTCTAAATTGGCACTGAGGTCAAGGGAGAGCAGCTTCCTAAGCAGATTAAGGGAGGGAACTTAATGCAAGCATTATTCTGCGGCAGGATTGTGAATTGGGGTCATCCCACTTGCTTAACTACTCCAGGTTGATGTGAGGTGTCCACCCGCCTCAGAGGGAAGGGTGAATCAGCAGAGAAGGGAGGATTCTCCAGCTTGTGAGAGGCAAGAGCCGAGACACCTGGCACCAGGAAGTAGGAAGAGAGGAAAACAAGCCTCCTCTTAGGTGGCCCTTCCCAGGATGGTGAAGCAAGGCAGAGTCCATGTGACCTGAGATTGAACCACCTTGAAGCGCAGGTGCTTAGACCAGCCAGCTTCTCTTATTTGCCGTTCTGGGCAGTGCACCTTGCTAAGTACAAGCTGCCAAATAACCAACTCCCCACTGAGATAATTTACTCAGTTTGCTGTCTCTGTTCCTTATTTTTGTTTCTGATGGTATCTTTCTAATATTTTTACTTGTGACCCATTGGGAGTCAAACACATACAAATCTAATAAATAATATTTTAAATAGAATTGTCCCAGTTTGACCTTAACTGGGCACCCTCTGCCTGCTAGTCAGCACTTAACAAAGCAGCTGATCTTCACTAACCTGCAAACTTCCCTTGCTACCAGTCTAAACCAGTGGTTCTCAGTCTGGGGTCCGTAAACCCCAGTTGTGTGCGTGTGTGTGTGTGAGAGAGAGAGAGTGATGTCACCACAGGGAGTCTGCAAAAGCTTGAAGAAATGTTATAATTTAAATCTTGAGTGAAGCCTTGGGTATTGGAGCCCACAAAAGGTATTTAAAGGGGGTCTGTAGTGAAGAAAAGGTTGAGAACCACTGGCCTAAACTAAGCATCTTCCAAGGGAGAGAGCCCGAAGGAAGCACCTTGCAAGCAGATGCCATGGCAATTCTCCTGCTCTTTGGGCTGATGGGTCCAGATTGGGGGAAAACTCTCTGATGCAATAACTTTATTCATAAACTTCTATTAATTGTAATAGTCCTAGTGTCTTCCACGGTGGTACTCAACCTGCAGCAGATATCCAATGCTATAGCCAGCAATACTAAGTCACTAAGAGGACCTGGGAGCTAGTTTGGTTAAGGCATTAGGCTAGAAACTGTGAGAGTGTGAGTTCTAGTCATGCCTTAAACACAAAGCCAATTGGATGACTTTGAGACAATCTGGTTTCTTAGCCCTAGGAAGAAAGGGGAGGCAATGACACACCAGCAAGTCTTGCCAAGAAAACTGCAGGGACTTGACCAGGCAGTCCTCAGGAGTCAACACTGACTCAAAGGCACCAAGAAACAAAAAATAGCTGGCGACAGAAGACAGAGAAGCAGAAAATTTAATTGCTCACCATCCATCCTTGGATGGAAACAAGATTGGCTGCACATTAACCGTTCCCATTCTTGTTGATCTCTCCCCTGTCTCTGTTGCTGTTGTTGCCATAAAAGTGTATATGCCTGGCTGTGGAATAAGGGAGGAAATACTAATTGAACACCAATACAGCTAAAGATGAACTAACTCTGGGCTGGGGATGGGACAAAGGCCACGGTGTCAGGTTTCCCCAGCAGAAATAGGAGGCTACCAGGCCTCACCAGTCAGGGACAAGGGAGGGAAGACCCAGTGCTGCTCCAAGGGCATCAGAAAACCCTAGAAACGGAGGAACAGAACAAGTGTCCAAATGAAGGATAGAGAAAGAAAAGATGGGAATGGTTCAGGCCAAAAGGCACAGCTCTCTTGTCATTTTCACCCTGCTCTTTCCACCATCTCCCACAGTGCTGAGTACCCTGATCTGCGCAAACATAACAACTGCATGGCCAGCAACCTGACACCTGCCATCTACGCTCGGCTCTGTGACAAAGCCACAGCTGCGGGCTGGACCCTGGATCAGTGCATCCAGACTGGGGTGGACAATCCCGGACATCCCTTCATCAAAACAGTAGGCATGGTGGCAGGAGATGAGGAATCCTATGAGGTGAGTGCGGAGAGGGCCCACCTTCCCTTGCCTATCAAGCCCTGAGCTTCTGTGGGATGATTGCTAACCAATGGCCCTCTTGGGACTCCAGGTTTTTGCAGAGCTGTTTGACCCTGTAATTGAGGAGAGGCACAATGGCTACAACCCACGCACCATGAAGCATCCCACCGATCTCGACGCTCGTAAGGTATGCTAACTAGGGGCCTGCCTTGACTGCAAGGAAGCTCAGTAGGACTTTATTAGCAAAACTGGTCTTAGAATTTATCACCATCCACCCATCTTCTGCAATGAAGGGCGGGGGGGGGGAGGGTGTCCTCTCCAAACAAGTCTTGAATCTCCTAAATTATATCACAATGGGGAGCGTGTACTGTCAGAAAATTCATTCCTAAGATGCAATGCTAGCACAGCAAAATATAACTTGACAATGAGTGGAAAGAAAGAAGGGAAGGAAGGGAAGGAAGGGAGGGAGGAAGGGAGGGAGGGAGGGAGGAAGGAAGGAAGGAAGGAAGGAAGGAAGGAAGGAAGGAAGGAAAGGTAATCTTTAAAAATAGAAGAAATATAATAAATAATAAACCAAAGTCCATAAACACTCTAAAAAAGAATTCAACTGTAAGATGTTAATGGAAGCCCATCAGGGAAGGAGCCTATTTACCTTCAGCCAAAGGACCAGCACTGCGCCCCTCCAGAAGGACCTGCCCTTAACCCCTCACTTCCCAAAGAGAGGATCTATGACTTGCTTCTCCCACAAACTTCAGGCAAGTTGGTCGAATTCTGGTTACAGGAAACCCAATGCCAACTCGGGGACCTTGAGAGTTTAAATCAGCCCTTTAAATGACCTGTGCAGGGTCCACAGCACAGCACAATGTGCTCCCAAGCCAGGTCTTAGTGACATTTGCACAACAGAGTAGAGCAACGGTCTCCAACCTTTCCTGATCACCAGACTGACAGAGGCAGCAGGTGGTGATGGGGTGGGGGGAGGTGATGGTTTCACGTGTACAACCTAATATTGTGCATGCACAAATGGAGCTGGGACCCCTGGAGAAGAGCTTGTGCCATTCGTCAAATGAGTCGTGAGCCACTGCGGCAAGGTCTTCCTAGCCAAGGTAGGGCTGCACCATGGCCTCGGCCTCCTATTCAGGCTGGACTCCAAGTCCAGGAGGACACACACACCCTCCCCAGCCCTAGTGACCCTCTACATATTAAGGGGTAACATTAGAGCAGGCAGAGACTCCTAGTCAATCACCCAGAGTGTTGTTTTGCTTGGGATCACTTTGAACTGGTTCTGTCCCATCCAGAGTCTTGTCGCCTCCAAGCCTCAGGGCAGGATTTCAGTGACTTCTCCAGCATGGCTCAGACTCATGGCATAGAGCTCGTTTAATTGGCCTACTGATTACATTGAGCCCTAAACGGTTGAATGAATTCCATGATGGCTTCAAGTAGATCTTCAAACTAGAGGGAAGATACTCTACCAGGCAGAGGCTACTACTAGGCCAACCTGTGGAACCGGCTGCTGAAAAAGGACTGGGACCATTGCAGATGAGAGCCCCCAATCTGTAACCCAAGTGGATGGTCCAGAAGGTAACCAGCAAAGGTCACTGAGAGGCATAAGAGAACAGGACCGTTACACTCCCCCTGCCCAGGTCCTGACAAAAGACATCTACAAGCGTAGCCAGAGCCAGAGCCATCCATGTTCAGGGCTGAGCTCAAAATCCAGGTGATTCGTTTCCTCTAGAGCCTTTCCCACTGTTGACTCAAGAATTTTCCTTACAAAAGGAAGTCTGGAAAACTTCTCTGACTTGTTAAAGGCTCAGGAACCCTTTTGCTTCAAGGGGATCACAGCCTCGGCACACGCTTGTTTCAGTACAATTCGGAGTGAGTGCTAAAGGCAGATCCTGCTCCTGGGATAGGATGGGATGGGATGGGAAGGTCAAGGCTGGGTGCCTGATGGAACTCTGCTCCTTCTTAAGCCTGCAGGAACTTCAAGCCAGGAACTCTTTCCCAGAATCAGCCGTGGCCTTAGGACAAGTATTGTGAAAAAGTGATAAGGGGGCTCAACCCAAACAGGGATAGCAACAGCTGTGAGCTCAAGGACACAATATTTGGTGACTCTCCAATGTGGCTGGGCCTGTAGAGGGAGGTTTTAAGGGTGAAATAGTTGACATGAGCATCTGCAAATGTTTTTGTCTCTTCCTCTGACAGCCTAAATGCAGAAAAAACTTGTTCTGGATCCCAGCAATTCTGCATTTGCCTGGTGATTGTTATTTAATGCACTTATATTTAGCCAGCTATGTAGGAGAGGGGGATGCTGGCCCTCGTCAGGTAGGGGAGGTGGGTCCTGAAGGGTCAGAAAATGTTAATGCTGGTGCAGTGAATGCTCATCTCAGAGTCTGATAAACATAAACTGAATGCATCAACCCAAAGAGATCTGGAAGTCACAACAGTTTTTCTAAAAAGACAAAAACAGCTGATTGCTCTTCTGCACACGAAGCAACTCACCTGTCCAGCACAGCCTCTGTTGCTTCAGGGACTAGCCTGTCAAATAATACTGGTTAGATGTACACTTACGCGCCCCTTCAGGAACCCAAGGTATATCTAATATAATCTCCTTCTATTCCCCAACGACAACCCAGTGAGGTTGGCTGGCCAGGTGGCAAGGCTGACCCAAAGTCACCCAGGGAACTTCTATGACGTGGGGGGTGGGGGGACAGAACCTCCTTTTCCTGCCACCCCAACGTCTCCCTGTCACAGGCCGGGGCAGGGCAGCCTTTCAAGCCCCAGCTCCTCTGGGCGCTGCTGAGGCCAGGCTGACGGGGGAGGCTTCTCCAAGGCCAGGCCCCAGATCCCAGAGCACGTCACACTCTGCAAGGAGACACAGCTTGGTTAAGAGCTGCCTGGGATGGGATCCTCGTTGCACGAGGCATTTAAATAGATGGCTATTTGATTAAATGGAATGAAATTAAATCCATGGCCTTTTGCCAAGGATGCTGCTGCAATCTCTTCGATCCTACAGTTCAAGCTCTGGGAATCCTACAACTGCAGCCTCAGACCCTTGTTGGGGCGGCACGGGGAGCTGCATCCCAGAGAAAAGCTTTAGGGGAAACAGTTGCTTTAAAGAGCAAGAAGAAGAAGGGCGTGCATAAGCTCACCAATGTGCCTGCCGTCCATGGTTGTTGTTGTTTTTCTTATATGTATCCAGATATTTATAGCTATGTTTTTACTTATACCTATTATCTTGTAAGCAATTGACAAATAAATAGAATGAGGAGCTCAGGGGACCTTTGGGAGGGAGAAAACCAGGGAATGACATACTAGACCAGCCTGCCTCAGCCTGCCCAGCTGCTTCCAAGCAAAGGAAGCATGAGCAACAGGCGCATGTTCTGAGCACAGGACGCTTCATGGAAAATGCTTCTGCTTGGGGCCAAGGGCTTGCCCCCCATTTCCATGACTGCAGTTCCTCCTCAGGAGCACCTGTGCCAGCCAGGCCAGGGTGCCACCTGGCAAGCGGGCCTTTCCTCTTGCTCCCCCTGTGAAAGGCCCAGCGCACCTAGCTTCCACCTGGGACCTGGCTTCCTGCCAAGCCCTGAACGCAACGAGATCCAAGACCCCTTGTCTCCCTGAGGTGTGACCAGCCTCGTCTTCCTCAGATCAAGGGCGGGCACTTTGATGAACGCTACGTCCTTTCCTCCCGGGTCCGGACTGGCCGCAGCATCCGTGGCCTGAGCCTGCCTCCAGCGTGCACCCGGGCAGAACGGCGGGAGGTGGAGAAAGTCACAGCAGAAGCCCTGAACGGCCTGACCGGGGAGCTGGCGGGCAAGTACTACCGCCTCAGTGAGATGACGGACAAGGAGCAGGAGCAGCTTATTGAGGTGAGTGTGCCGGGTGGGGCAGGGCCCGGAGTGGACCCTCCCGAGGTGGTGATCAGGCCCAGCTAGTGGGACCTGCAGGCCCAGGTCACCTGTTGTCTGGGAGTGTGTGTAACTTCCTGCAAGGCCCCGCGGCTGCCAGACATCACACCGTTTCCTCAGCCCACCTGGTTGCAGGCAGCCGCTATGCCCCGGGACAAAATTCAAGGGAAGCATAAAGAGACCCTAGCAGGGACGATTATCTCCTCCTCCTCCTCCTCCTCCTCCTCCTCCTCCTCCAGGACCACTTCCTTTTTGACAAGCCGGTCTCCCCTCTACTGACAGCAGCAGGCATGGCTCGCGACTGGCCTGATGCCCGAGGAATCTGGTAGGTCTCCATGGATGCTTCTGATCGGGACAGACCAGGCTGGGCGGAAACTCCAGCCCCAGGAGAGGTGTCTCCCTGTGCAGAGGTCCTCTGGGGCATGAAGAGTGTGGATTGGTGGGGGAATGGAGCCTTTCCCGCCACCGAATAAGAGCTGCTGAAAGCTGCGCCAAGATTGGTGAAGACCAGAGGAGGCTGCCCAGGGAGGGAAGGGAGATCTCACCGCAGCCAGGTCAGTTGGCGGTAGCCTCCCCTCTCCTCATCAGCCTCTTGACTCCTGCTCAGGCACAACCATGAGAAGACCTTCCTGGTCTGGATCAACGAGGAGGACCACACTCGCGTCATCTCTATGGAGAAAGGTGGCAACATGAAGAGAGTTTTTGAGAGGTTCTGCCGGGGTCTGAAGGAAGTGAGTCATCTCCTCACTGGGACCTTCTCAAGGGGGCCGAATCAGAGGCTGCCAGAGAAGCTGAAGGGAAGGGGCTCCGCACCGGGGAAACCGGGTTGGGCAGGTGGGCAAAACTGGGGAGAAGGTGGTCAGAGAGCCCTGGCTTAGATGGATCCACTTACACTTTGCCTTTCCTCCCGTGACCAGGTAGAGCGTCTGATCCTGGAGAAAGGCTGGGAGTTCATGTGGAATGAAAGGCTGGGCTACATCTTGACGTGCCCGTCCAACCTTGGCACCGGCCTGCGTGCTGGAGTTCACATCAAACTGCCACTGCTGAGCAAAGTAAGGACCAAGGAAAAGAAATGGCCCAATTGCTCTGAATCCTTTGTCAAATCCCGAGAGTCTCCTGTCCTTGGCGGAAGGCAATCTCAGTGCTTTCCCCCTCATCTTTTGACCTCACAAAACACACCAGGCACCTGGTTGTCCCACCCCCAAGCTTTCAATGTGATATTGGATTCTTCCCCATCGTGCTCCTCTCTATCCAGGACCACCGGCTTTCTAAGATCCTGGAGAATCTGAGGCTGCAGAAGCGAGGCACCGGCGGTGTGGACACAGCTGCCACAGGGAACGTCTTTGACATTTCCAACTTGGATCGCCTGGGCAAATCCGAGGTAACTCCCAGGCTGGGCTGGGTGCAAGTGCCCTCTCTTGCCTCCCCTTGCTTTTTGCAATGCCTGCTCGAGTCATCCAGACCACTGTGGGCCTAAGGCAAGGGCCCTGGGAAAGGGGATGCCTGTGGCAAGAAGGGCCGGGAGGGGGGGCTTCCTCCTTCAGAGCTTGGGGGTGACTTAGTACCACACAAACAAACAGCAGGCTAGACCCAACGGCTCCAGCTCAGCCTCTGTCTCTTACCACCCTTGCTTGTATTCCCATCCTTGGCAGGTTGAGCTGGTACAGCTGGTGATCGATGGTGTGAACTACCTGATTGATTGTGAGCGGCGCCTGGAACGAGGCCAGGATATCCGCATCCCAGCCCCTGTCAGCCAGTCCCGTGGCTGAGCTCAACCAGACCCTCCAAGGCTTGAGAGATGCCTGCATGCGTAGTCTTGTGGCTCTAACTGTGTACCCTGCAGCAATCCCCATAAAGTCCCAATTGCTTGGCTTCCTTTGGATTGCAGCTATTTTTTCTGCCCATCCCTGGGGCGGGGGGGGGGGGGGGGCAGCAGGCAGGAGGAACCTTCTGTTCCAAATCCCGGGTTCCCCTTCAGAGGATGACAAAGGGAGCTCGAAAGGCTTGGGAGGGCAAACTGATGGGCTGGCAGATTGGCAAAGCTGCTCCTCTGCCCCCCAAATGTAGGGCAGTGATGGTGAACCTTTTTGGCACTGAGTGCCCAAACTGGAACACATGCGTGTGTGTGTGCCAGAGTACCCGGAACCCGAAGGCCAGACATGTGCATGGACTTTGAGTTTCCGGCACAGGCATGTACACTGGCCAGGTGGTCTTCAGGTTTCCAGTGCTCTGGTGCGCATGAAGACCAGCTGGCCGGCACGCATGTGCTCACCAGAAACCGGAAGAGTAGCGGCAATGGTGCGCATGCCCACAGAGAGGGCCCTGCGTGCCACCCCTGGCACACGTGCCATAGGTCTGCCCTCACGGATCTAGGACAAGTAGCAGAATGCTGGGGACAGGGGAGCCATGCATGGCAACTGCAACCCAGCAGAAGGCAGGAGGGCAGCCACATCTGAGGCTGCAGAGGACTTGTGCAATCCCTGCTGACAGGGCATCATGGCCAGGACTTCCCAGCTCATCAGACTAAGGAGCTGGGCAAGCCAATGGGCAATGCTTCTGCCTTGGGATGGCTGACCCGATGGCTGCAGCTGTTTCCCCTGGCCTGGGCCATTCAAGTTAAGTTGAAGCCCTTGGGTCAAGAGATTTGAATCCTTCCTCAGCTGATGTCCCCAACATTTGCTCGTCTCCTGGACCCAATCTAGGATGGGAGTATCAGGGTAGCCAGCCCCCCAAGAGGACAAGCTACTATGGACCATTCCCAGAAAAGAGACAAATGGGCTTGGGGGGGGCGGGGTGTCTCCTGGCCTAATGTGGTCCTTCCTGAGTAAAGTTTCACTGTGTGCAACCAAACCAGGAAAGAAAGGGGGGACGGAAGCTTCAGCGGGGAATGTGCCCTCCTCAAAGGCAGCGGGGAAGACAGGGAGCAGGGAAGGAGAGAACCACAGGCCAGCCAGCCTGGTCCTCAGGCTTGGAATCTGTGGAAGTGGAAAGGACCCTGGAGGCCTCCTAGCCTAGTTCCCTGCTTAAGGAAACCCTTGACCATTCCAGACGAATGGCTGCTCCGTCTCTTCTGAGAAAGATCCAGTGATGGAGCACCCACAACCGCTTGAGGCAAACCGTTCCAGTGGTTAGTTCTCCTGCCAGGAAGTTCCTCCTAAGGTCAAGGCTGCTTCTCTCCTTGATTCGTGCCCATCACTTCTCGTCCTGCCTTCAGGGGCGCTGGGCAACCCCCTTTTCTTTGTGACAGCCCCTTAGATGCTGGAAGACGGCCGACCACAAAGAGATTCATAGATATTTTAAAACCAGGCAACACTTAAAACCACAGAATTCAGCAGAGATTGATTGGCCGGGAACAACTTGGGTAATATGACTCTTTTTTTGCTTTGCTTTTTGGCAATTTTAATTTCTTTAGGACATTGCAAGAATGCTATAGTCATAAAATATCTTATTGCAGCTGACAAAGTGCTCCATGACATTCTGATTAGCAAGCAAGATCCAGGTGGCATACCAATTAAGTTCATTCACAACAGCTTGAAAATCATTTTTAAAAAGTACTCATTAATGATAACAATCAAACAAGTGAGATAAGAATGGGGATCCCCAGTTTGGTCCTGTGTTTTCATCACTTTTGTGGATAAAGGGGCACATTTAGAACACTTACTAAATTTGCAGCTGATACAAATTGGGATGGCATTAATTAATATTCCAGAAGACTGAAACAAAGTTGAAAGCAATCTTGATCAGTTAGAAAAATGGCCTTCTAGACTAGACAAATGAATGTTACTCACTTGGAAAAAGAAGTCAAATGCAGTCTGTATGTGTGGTGAGTGTGTGTGTGAAAAGGTTTTTGGAACTGGGGTGGATTACAAGCTGAATATGAGTCACAGTATCACACAGCTGCTAAAAGGATAAGTGCCATTTTGGGCTTCACCAACAGAAGCATAATTTCCAAAGGTTGGGAGGGAATTGTCCCACTTTGTATTGAACAAATATTCTATTATCCGTCCTGGGCATCATAATTTGAGAAATATTCCTTTGCCACGAAGATGATCAGAGAACCAGGGGCAAAACCTTTTGGGAGGGAGAGACTCACATATGGTGGGATTTCAGGGATTTCAAGGGGCCACCTGAAGAGCCAAGACCACACACTCTTGTCTCGGGGGGACATTTATTTGTGCATCCTCGAATCAGCCAATACAATATCTGAAAAATCTTGATAGCTTGTCACCTATGTGTTGCTTTATCAGTTCTTTATTGAGAGGTTCACTATTGCTATAAAAATATTTTATTCCATACATTTTTCTCTAAGAAAACTAATTATCCTACCCAACAACAATTTTCTATCACTAGAGCTTTGCAGGGCTTCCAGGAGGTAGGTGATTGACTGATAGATAATACCAGTTCTGACTGGCCCTGCCCCCTATTCTCTGCTTCTCAAGTCCCAGCTGATTGGCTGGGTCTTCTTTTGTTGCTTTGCATAGGAGAACAGAGCTGGAAAGCAGGTTAGTGGGGTGGGGAGGAAATGGGATTTTGCAGTAACCTTCCCCTGCCATGACCACCAAGCCATGCCCACAGAACCGGTAGTAATTTTTTTTGAATCATACCCTGTCTCCCCCGCCCCCCAGGTGTGTCACAAATCAGATTCTCCAGCGAAACACGTTCAGGGGCTGAGTGTCATAAATCGCATTCTCCAGTGAAGGATTTTCAGAAGATCCAGTAGCCTAGGCTACAATCTCCACAAGATAAGCGTGGAATGTGCTTCTGCCTTTCATCTGCCGCACTGCTCCCTCAGGTGTCAGGTTCTGCCCCCACGAACCAAGAAAAACGAGCACAACAGATTCAGAAGTAATCCATTTATCTTCTACTAGGTGGCACCGGCACTTAACTGACCAGCATGAAGTTCATACAAACTAACCGCGTTTAAAGTCAGGACTAAACGCCCAGTGCTGCCCACCACCTTTATCCGCTCAGTAGCCCATCCATCCCAGCATCCGCACCATGCAATCACCATCTCCAAAGCACTGTCTCTGCCCCCTAGCTGTCCCCGCACCGCGCCCATCAGCTGTCCACCATTGATACTGACAACAGAGTGGAACATCTCAACTGCCCCATCGCATTTAGCCCTCTATAGTCAATGCATAAATGAAGAGTTCCATCTTTTTTCTCCTAGAGCGATCTAGCCCAGGGTGCCAAGCTCTATTTCCTTGAGGGTCACATCAGGAGTGGGTTTGACCTTGGAGGGCCAGGTGGGGGCGTGGGCATGTTGGGCGTAACGCGGGAGCGCACCTCCACAGACATCCTTTCATACATTTATAAAAATAAGGAAGCGCACATTTCTGTGATTTTATTTTTTTAATACTTACTTGATCTACTTGATCACCTTATGAGAGAGACTAGATCAAGAAACTTACTCCATAGGAAGACTAGAACTACAAAATTGTTGACATAGGCACAGTAGCAGAATACTGGAAGCCTGAAAGGTAAAATATTTTACTTTTCCTACCTTAACTTTTTTTGAGCTTAGCTTAATGTGCGAAGAGGCGCGAAGCTGGACCGGCTGCATATCATCCTGGCTGCAGTTAGGAATCCAGAGAGGGCTGTCTGTCCCCAACAGGGCGCTCTCCAGCGGTGTCTGACCACAGTGCCCATCTCTCTCCCAGGAAGTCAGTTAATTAGTGTACAATACATAGTTCTGGCTTAGGGAGGTCTCCGGACTAAAGCGCTTTGCTGAGACGGTGCCAGGTTTTCCAATCGGGGCACCCTGTTTTTTGATAAATGCCTCTAAGAAAGGGGGGATTTCCAAGGAGCGGAGAAGTTCCTCTCATCATTTTTACTCACAGTGACATCGAGTTGCCCACGCCCACCCCGTTTCACGACCACCCAGCCACACCTACCCAGTCGGTCATTAGGTCAGAGAACCAGTTGTTAAATTATTTGAATCCCACCACTGGTTACAAGTTGACTTACCAGGGGGTCATCATCGGAATTGGTTTCATTCTTGCCCAGGCTGGTTGGAGCTCCCAGCCCCTCATATTCAGGAGGACTAAACTCAAATGACCTCCGTCCATTTCAGTGCTGTTCCCTGGGGTTTCAGAGCTGGTCTCTCTGCCTTTCTCCCTGGAGTCGCCACGACTTTGGGGCTGGACTTGGTGGATCAGCATTCCGTAGCTTGGTTCCCCTTCCTTTCTGCACTTAAAACAGGCCATGCATTGCTGTCCATGAGGCCTGGACTCATCCCTTGATGACTTCTGGGTCTCCTTTTGTCCAGAGGGCGAGGATTTACACCACCCATGACTGCCCTGGTGTCAGTCTCTGGCTAGGTCAATCTCTACCTCACCCACCAACACATACCAGTGTTGTAGGGTGTGTGGGGCCCCACATGAGATGCAGGTGTGGTAAACATCATCGTTGAGGCCATCTTTGAAGCAGGGGATGGGAATGTCTTTAGGCCATCTGGCTAGTTGACACACCAACTCTCGGAACTCCAGGGTATACAAGGCCACCAACACATGATCTTGGGTGATGGTCTTCATCTATGTCCGAGTCTTGCGCTCTGACAGTGAGTCCTCAAACCATTGGTGAAGGGCTGCCATGAAGTGGTTGTAGTTCTGCATGTTACTCGAGCTGCCTCCATCCCCAATTCGGCCCCATATTCTTGCGTGTAGTTCCAGACTTGCCCCAGAAAGAACCCCAGTTGCTTGGGGTCTCCCCCATACGTCACTTCCCAGATGGGAGCTGTCAGGGTCTGGTATCTCCAAGGGGCAGGTGGAAGGGCACGTGCAGCTGCAGCTGCTGGGGATAGCACCACTGGGCCTGGTGCTGTCCAGGCGGAGCAAGTGTGGCAGCCACTGCAGCAGCTCTGTCCACAGCTTGGTTTGGGGTGGTCCGGGCAGCCTGAGTGGTCACCATCTGAGTGAGCGTTTCCCAGGCTCTTTGATTCTCAATCACTTTTTGCAATAGGTGCAAGATATGGCTCAGCATGATGTCCTCTGGATCAAGAGGGGGGGACATCTTGTCCCCCTCACAACATTCCTGCCTGTGGGAACTTCTGCTTCCTGGAGTAAAAGTACCTTCAAGGGTTGATCTTCTGGTTCTTCCCTTCACCCCATGCCCAATGGCCATCTGGGCTTGAGAGGTTCCTCTATCGAAGTCCAGCTCCTCTAGTTGTTCCACTTTGTCTCAGGTGTGGTGAGGTCTAGGAGGGGACCCGACTGGTGCCCCCGTCTCCTCCAGTTCACTCTCATGGCTGATACACCTTTCAATGCTCTGTCCACTCAGTAGACTGCAGTCTCTAGGCCAACCGTTAAAGCAGCCCTTGCCTAATGTCAGGACTGCTTGGGATCAATTCTAGGGAAGAAAACCTTCGACTCCATATTTAAGAGAAAAGGTACTTTTATTAAGAATGAACTGAGTGCAGCAAGTGTCAGGCAAGGTGTGACACAAATACGCATGAAAAGACTAATTGAAAATAACTGCTCGGGACTCTGTTCTAACTGCCAGAGGAGATACACACAAGACCTAGGACCTTAGTTTCACCCACCCATTAGCACCTAATGGGAAAGACATGATGCCATTGCCCCTCCAACCAGGCCTTCTACATCCCCAAGTGGTCCAGAATGAGAAGAAAGTTGCCTCTGGGCTGGAAACGACTACACGCCCTGGATGAAGCCCAGACGAAGGGTCCTTATCACACTGCTTCCACTGGCCAACTGCCTGGACCATTCCCTGTGGTTTTCTTGGCCAGTTTCTAGTCTGGTGCCTTTAGCCACTGCTCTATACTGCCTTTCAGTCCATATCACACTGTGGTCAATGGGAAAAGGCCAATGCCTCATCCTGAGACATCGATGTGGCCCTTGGGAAGGGGGCGGGCAAGAGCAAGGCCTGGCCCTCACAGCAGCTAGAGATGATTTTATGACATTTTGTGTTCTTATACTACAGCAAGCTTTCAACTGCTCTCCAAAAAGGAAGGATTGTTAAAGCTTCCGACAGAGTCCAAAGGTTTCAGGCTGACTCAGTGCCAACTAAGGGCCAATCATCATCCCAGGCAGAAAAAGGCAGCCCACTCTATAGATTGTGTGAGTGAGTCAGTAGGAACAGGAAACGGAACCCCCCCCCCCCCCCGAAAAGCCTACTGGCCGCGTGATCCTACTTATCTGGGTAGGTTCTGATAACAAAGCTCGACTCTGCAGGGTTTTCCACAGCCACTTCATACAAATAGGAAATCAAACAGGAGGGAAGAGACTATTCCCTGTTGGGCCACTTAGCCTCTCTTGCTCCATGTGGGCTGGGACTGCTACAAAATGATGCCTGTGGTTCCAACCTTCATGGTTTACCTTAAAACATGCCACAGCTGATGTTATTGAAAGCTCCCAAGTGGAGCAGGACCTACCCAAGCCCACCAGGAGAAATCGAGGAGGGCAGCTGATGTGGTTATGCCCCATACCCAGGCCTGAACCAGTGCTGGAAGTAGTCCACAGGTTAGATTTCTTCTGGGGCGCTCAAGGAACCGTCCCCTTGTCATCAGCTATATGGATACCGATTGGTTACAGCTCCTTAAGCAGAGGTTGCCCCAGGGCACCCCTGGAGGTCCCTGGCACCCAGCCTCCTGGCACAAGATGATGGGAACACCTGGATGGGTCTCCTTCCCAGGCTCAGTTACTCCTACATCTCATTGCACCAAGGGTTTGTTCAGCTGGTGTCAAATGTCCAGCAAATACTAGTATCCGTATCTACAAAATGCTCCAACTCCAAGGATACTCTAGCCGCCGGGATGGGTGGGGTGCCCCAGAAGGAGGGGGAACCCAAGGACCACATTCACCCTGGGGCCCTAGAGGAACCCGACAGTGCAACGGGCCCCCTAAGCACCCCTCAAATCTGGCGAGCTCCCCCTGCGTGGCCTGGGCAGCGGCTGAACTGGGCAGGGGCCATTTTCTGAAGAAAAGCCATCAGGTGGTCACCTATCAGGACAGGCTCACACCCTTCATCCCCCGCCCCCCGCATCCGCTCAGTGTAATTCTAAGAGCCGCACCGAACAGAACCTACGCCGAAT